CCTATCTATGTATACACATGTGTAAGTCATTGATACCCTACCTATGCATACATATGTGTAAGTCATTGATACCCTACCTATGTATACCCCTGTGTTAATCATTGATACCCTATCTATGTAAACACATGTGTAAGTCATTGATACCTTACCTATGCATACCTCTGTGTTAGTCATTGATACCTATCTATGTATACACATGTGTAAGTCATTGATACCCTATTTATGTATACCCCTGTGTTCGTCATTGATACCCTACCTATGTATACCCCTGTGTTAGTCATTGATACCCTATCTATGTATACATATGTGTAAGTCATTGATACCCTACCTATGCATACATATGTGTAAGTCATTGATACCATACCTATGTATACCCCTGTTTTAGTCATTGATACCATACTATATATACCCCTGTGTTAGTCATTGGTACCCTATCTATGTATACACATGTGTAAGTTACTGATACCCTACCTATGTATACCCTTGTGTTAGTCATTGATACCATACCTATGTATACCCTTGTGTAAGTCAATGATACCCTATTTATGTATACCCCTGTGTTCGTCATTAATACCCTACCTATGTATACCCCCGTGTTAGTCATTGATACCCTATCTATGTATACACATGTGTAAGTCATTGATACCTTACCTGTGCATACATATGTGTAAGTCATTGACACCCTACCTATGCATACATATGTGTAAGTCATTGATACCCTACCTATGTATACCGCTGTGTAAATCATTGATACCCTACCTATTTATACCCATGGCTAGGTTAGTGATAACCTACCTATTTATACTCCTGTGTAAATCATTGATACCCTACCCATACATACATCTGTGTTAGTCATTGATGCCCTACCTATGTATACCCCTGTGTTCGTCATTGATACCATACCTATGTACACCCCTGTGTTAGTCATTGGTACCCTATCTATATATACACATGTGTAAGTCATTGATACCCTACCTATGCATACATATGTGTAAGTCATTGATACCCTACCTATGTATACCCCTGTGTTAGTCATTGATACCATACCTATGTATACCCCTGTGTTAGTCATTGATACCCTATCTATGTATACACATGTGTAAGTCATTGATACCCTACCTATGCATACATATGTGTAAGTCATTGATACCCTACCTATGTATACCCCTGTGTTAGTCATTGATACCATACCTATGTATACCCCTGTGTTAGTCATTGATACCCTATCTATGTATACACATGTGTAAGTCATTGATACCCTACCTATGCATACATATGTGTAAGTCATTGATACCCTACCTATGTATACCCCTGTGTTAGTCATTGATACCATACCTATGTATACCCCTGTGTTAGTCATTGATACCCTATCTATGTATACACATGTGTAAGTCATTGATACCCTACCTATGCATACATATGTGTAAGTCATTGATACCCTACCTATGTATACCCCTGTGTTAGTCATTGATACCATACCTATGTATACCCCTGTGTTAGTCATTGATACCCTATCTATGTATACACATGTGTAAGTCATTGATACCCTACCTATGCATACATATGTGTAAGTCATTGATACCCTACCTATGTATACCCCTGTGTTAGTCATTGATACCATACCTATGTATACCCCTGTGTTAGTCATTGATACCCTATCTATGTATACACATGTGTAAGTCATTGATACCCTACCTATGCATACATATGTGTAAGTCATTGATACCCTACCTATGTATACCCCTGTGTTAGTCATTGATACCATACCTATGTATACCCCTGTGTTAGTCATTGATACCCTATCTATGTATACACATGTGTAAGTCATTGATACCCTACCTATGCATACATATGTGTAAGTCATTGATACCCTACCTATGTATACCCCTGTGTTAGTCATTGATACCATACCTATGTATACCCCTGTGTTAGTCATTGATACCCTATCTATGTATACACATGTGTAAGTCATTGATACCCTACCTATGCATACATATGTGTAAGTCATTGATACCCTACCTATGTATACCCCTGTGTTAGTCATTGATACCATACCTATGTATACCCCTGTGTTAGTCATTGATACCCTATCTATGTATACACATGTGTAAGTCATTGATACCCTACCTATGCATACATATGTGTAAGTCATTGATACCCTACCTATGTATACCCCTGTGTTAGTCATTGATACCATACCTATGTATACCCCTGTGTTAGTCATTGATACCCTATCTATGTATACACATGTGTAAGTCATTGATACCCTACCTATGCATACATATGTGTAAGTCATTGATACCCTACCTATGTATACCCCTGTGTTAGTCATTGATACCATACCTATGTATACCCCTGTGTTAGTCATTGATACCCTATCTATGTATACACATGTGTAAGTCATTGATACCCTACCTATGCATACATATGTGTAAGTCATTGATACCCTACCTATGTATACCCCTGTGTTAGTCATTGATACCATACCTATGTATACCCCTGTGTTAGTCATTGATACCCTATCTATGTATACACATGTGTAAGTCATTGATACCCTACCTATGCATACATATGTGTAAGTCATTGATACCCTACCTATGTATACCCCTGTGTTAGTCATTGATACCATACCTATGTATACCCCTGTGTTAGTCATTGATACCCTATCTATGTATACACATGTGTAAGTCATTGATACCCTACCTATGCATACATATGTGTAAGTCATTGATACCCTACCTATGTATACCCCTGTGTTAGTCATTGATACCATACCTATGTATACCCCTGTGTTAGTCATTGATACCCTATCTATGTATACACATGTGTAAGTCATTGATACCCTACCTATGCATACATATGTGTAAGTCATTGATACCCTACCTATGTATACCCCTGTGTTAGTCATTGATACCATACCTATGTATACCCCTGTGTTAGTCATTGATACCATACCTATGTATACACATGTGTAAGTCATTGATACCCTACCTATGTATACCCCTGTGTTAGTCATTGATACCATACCTATGTATACCTCTGTGTTAGTCATTGATACCCTATCTATGTATACATATGTGTAAGTCATTGATACCCTACGTATGTATACCCCCGTGTTAGTCATTGGTACCATACCTATGTATACCCCTGTGTTAGTCATTGATACCATACCTATGTTTACCTCTGTGGTAGTCATTGATACCCTATCTATGTATACACATGTGTAGGTCATTGATACCCTACCTATGTATACCCTGTGTAAGTCATTGATACCATACCTATGTATACCCTGAGTTAGTCATTGATACCCTACCTATGTATACCTCTGTGGTAGTCATTGATACCCTATCTATGTATACACATGTGTAAGTCATTGATACCCTATCTATGTATACACATGTGTAAGTCATTGATACCCTACCTATGTATACCCTGTGTAAGTCATTGATACCCTACCTATGTATACCTCTGTGTTAGTCATTGATACCCTATCTATGTATACACATGTGTAAGTCATTGATACCCTATCTATGTATACCCTGTGTAAGTCATTGATACCCTACCTATGTATACCCTGTGTTAGTCATTGATACCCTACCTATGTATACCCTGTGTAAGTCATTGATACCATACCTATGTATACCCTGAGTTAGTCATTGATACCCTACCTATGTATACACATGTGTAAGTCATTGATACCCTACCTATGTATACCCTGTGTTAGTCATTGATACCATACCTATGTATACCCTGTGTTAGTCATTGATACCATACCTATATATACCCTTGTGTTAGTCATTGATACCCTACCTATGTATACACTTGTGTTGTACCCTTAGATGTTCTGTATATAGATACCACTGTGTAAGTCATTTATACCATACCTATGTATACCCCTGTGTTGGACCCGTTCAAATCCTTCTTGGTGATACCACCATCCTCCATTGCCATGTGCACACAATCCAACACAAAACGCTGCTGGGGGTCCATCTGGGCGGCTTCCACTTCGCTAACGCCAAACAGCTTGTTGTCCCATTCATCGAATCTAAGGAAAGGTTGTAATGTTAACGAAAATTTACAGCGATGTAATTTACTGTTATAGAATCTTATATCTTTAAGGAATCAATAAACATTTATGTGTATGATGGTTCAATAGGTTGCCAAAAATAAACTAAAAAGAAAGGAAAAGGAAACGTTAGGGAGTACATTACATAACAGATGATTATCGAATGTGTACCTCGGAATAGGTATGACAGAAAGACTGGTTAGGGCCGTTTCAATAATATGATGACTAGCAGCTGAGACTACTGTTGAGAGAGAAGAAAAGCGCTGACATCTACATCTTGGCCAAATTTAATTCCACGCGTTACCTCGTCATCTGAGGACGGATTATGTGGATATGGAACTAAAACATGATTGACACGATTTCCAATGCCTGCACCTGTTTCATATTTTCGTGCATAACTTCATGTTAAAAATGCTTTAAATGTAATAAAAACATAAACATGTAACAAATATAACTACAAATTAAAGTTAGAAAACAAAATTAAATGACATGCATACTATTTATAAATTTAAACATTTGACTTCTTAAACAAACTTATTTGTTTGAGGTGTCACGGTACTACTGCCAATACAATTACTGGTAGTGTTAGCTGGAAGTTATTTATAAAGCCTGTCAATGTATCGTGCTCTAGGTCAGTGCTTCTATACAAAATTCCATTCATTTCCTTTTCTTCATATCTTAATCTTAAATCGCTGTACGACTGCATAGCTATTGCGCTTAAATAGTGTTGATTTAAAAGCACGTTTTTGTGAAACACCTATAAACCAAGATCCAATCACTACTGGACGAGTTCTCAAATGAAATAAATTGCCTAGCTGGAACGCAGATACACCCTGTGTGCTATTATACGTGCGTGTTGATAATTTAGAAGTACTTGACGACCGGTCTGTTGGTCACAACCTCGAAAAACAGCTCAAAGTAGGTCATGTGATGAAAAACTGTTTTTGATAATTTGAAGGTCCGTGTAGGTACTACTGATACGCTTCTTAGCAGTTATGTCAATTGTCTAACGGATTTATCCCACCTAGCATGCCTCGGACTAAACGATAAATATCAACATGAATTTAAATATGTAACCGTGATCGCGTTACCAGAATTTAGTCGGTGTAAGTCATGTAAGGCTAGAATTAGAAAACCGAACAGTAGGGAAAATATCACACACGAATGAGACCCTCTACAAGGAGAAGCTGTTGAACGAGGCCAGGTATCAGCGAATTATCAGCATGGATGAGGTAATCGTACCACACAAGATAGCTTGGAGACACGAGGGTGTTTTTGTGCAGTTCATTGAGTAGAGTGGTGGACTGTTTGCGTGGTGTTGTTTCTATCAGGAGTTACATTATTGACCCGAATGTACTGTCGACCACATGGAATGGATGTATTAGGTTATAAAATGTACTGATACTTTGTATATTGGTAAAATAATACTGGAATTAGTTGATGAACTTTGAACAATTAAAAAGTTGTGTTAAGCAACACTGACTAAAGCATTTATTTATGTTTTATTGGACTACTTCATGATGTTCCTTATTTATATAAAAAAAAAAAAAAAAAAAAAAATCAGATTTCTATATACATCTATCTTTCCAATAATGCATTTTTAATTTTATCTATCAGAACGTATGATTTGTTGTGAACGTCATAATCAATGTAATATAATAGCACTTGACAACACAAATGTATAAATCCTGTAATTGATTTCTTAATGGTTAATGTATGCCAATCTGCAAACATGAATTGACGTAGCTCTTTGCAAAAAGTGTATTGCAATGTATTTTTCGAAACGTGCACTGAAATACCTCTTCTCCTTTCTTTGAAGTGGACCGATAAAAACATACAATAAATACAAGTACACATGTAAATTTTAATTTAATGAAACAAAATATGTATCCTGAAAGAGAATTATCTGAATATTTCTCAGATTATATTTTCATTATTATTCGTTGAAGCGATTTTTGGTGACATGTTAATCTCGTACTTATTTTTTAACTAACAATAATTTTACTTAATACTTAAAAATGGCGCAGAAAAAAAATAATTGATGAATAAGTCGCTATAAGTTGATACTCTCTTAACAGGATATCATTGAGAACTTGAGAAAATGTTGTCAATCCTGTTTCGAAATGGAAATGCTTCAATCATATATTGGAAATTATTTTGTGCACTTTTTTATTTCTTACAATTTCGTTACCTTTTTATTAGTCCTGCATGTCGGACGTATGTCTTCCCAGGCTCATTTGCATCTTCATGATAAAAGGCGTCCAGATTCCATCTCTCGGGAGGAATCTCAATTACGTGATTCTCTCCCTCGCTAAGCACGCGCCAAAATTCATCAAGGTTGTCTGCGCCGGGAAACTTACATCCGACGCCGACAATGACGATCGAATCGTCGTCATCCATTTTCTGTAAGAAAATGCTGAAAAAGCAAAGGCGATTGATATTGAAATAATACCACTTACATTCTCCATATACATGCATTGTCATTATACGTATGAAAAGTAATCTGGCATGAATATCACAGCATTTTTGAGATATAAATTAGGTTTTAGCTTACATTCCCATATTTTCCATAGTTGCTGTTTTGTTGTCCCCAACCTTAAAATTGCTCAAAAGGGGACTTTGTTTATGGGTTGAAGCGTTCGTTCAGAGTGTCAATTTATAAATATTTTAGATTACTGGAATTCCAATTACTGGAGTACGGAAAACCGCTTAATAATAAAATATTCCAGCTGGTTGCATAACGAATCAAAACAATATCTATAATTACCAAATTCCAAGTTAAACATAATACAAACAAACACTATATTAAATTTTAGGGTAGATTTTGGATGTCAGTTAATGCTGCAATTGATTTATTTCGTAAGTAGTTTTCAAAAGATACGATGATGATTTCTTAATTTCACTTTGATTATTATTTTTGTGCTCAAAATTCAAAAATGATATCTTTTCCGCGTTGATTTTTCATTTTGCTGTGTTAATAGTTTACTACAGTTGTTAATGCAATGCATTTGACCAAAACATGTATCTATCGATAACATTCTTAACTTTCAACATACAGTGTATGTATCAAATGTTTTATCCTGATTTTAAGCTGACAAAATCTGTCTTTGAAACCGTATTCAGTTATATGTTTGTAATTTCTTTTAATTGATTAATGTTCGTATACCATTAAAGAAAAAAAATTAAAAAAAATTGTTTATAGTTTTAGTGCCCTTTTCAATGTCTTCTATGTTATTATTAATATGCTACTTTGATATAACAAAGTTTGCTGAATTTTTAAACACACCACTTGATATTGTCATAATTCTGCACGTGATGCATTGTAATAGACCTCCTGCATACTTTCCAATTCCAAGAACCATTTTTAAGAATTTGATGTGAAGATTACTCAGCAGAAATTTGAATAATTCTTGAACTAATATCTACATTTTTGTATTTTATTGGCACTAAAACCCTTCCATAAACCAGTATTAAATATCTTTTGGACATATAAAGCGCTATTGATAACATTAGATTTTTGGTCATAATCACAACGCAAATTTCCACAAAATCATATGTTAATTCTGGTCTATGTAAGAATTTTGTCCATAGCAAAGTTGTCATAAAGTCTAATTGTAAACAAAACCTTTTTACTCATTTCAGTAGAGTTTTTGTTAATGAAAAACAGTGACACTTACCCATTGTTGCATTTTACTGTCCCCAAATAATTGTATTTATTCGTTTGTTCTATCATCTTTGTTCATAATCTAATGAAATGGTTTGTTATCAATTTCAGAGATGTACGCTTCAAAGGGAAACCATTGTATGAGTATGTCAAAGGAAAAGAATGAATTTCTAGTTTTACTGATCGGTGGACTGTTAACTGAGAGATGATGAATCGACAATGATCCATTTAGATTTACATGAATTTAGAATCCCTGTCCCACTGCACTGTTGTTTTTCTATATATAGTAACCTCCCTTTAACTTCCGTTAAGATACATTTTTCGTGAAACATGAAATTAGATGAGTGTTTTATATGAATTATTAAATCGAAACATAGATATATGACAAAATTAAACCTATCACGTGTGTGGTTAGATAAAATAAAAAAAATGCATTGTTATCAAAACCGATTTTATCACTGATCAAGTCGTTTAATTCAGAATTAAAATAATGCATCAAAAAGGTGTTAACTAGGATAAATATGTAAGCCGGTTCATTGGAAAACTACATTTTATGTGGATAATGGTGAAGTGAAAATGCTCTTTGTTTGAATGTATTTTTTCGATATCTGTTTGATAATTAAATAAAATTAGCAAGTTGAGTTGAAGCTTTTCACACACTTATCATTACAAAGGGGAAACAATGAAAAGATAGAGAATTAAGAAACTGATAATTGCAGATAATGCAAGGAACGTTACGATATTGATAATTTTTGTAACATACAATGATTGTAGTTTTTTCCACTGACTAAATTATACGTCGCCGGCGATGTCGAGGACGAGCAAAGAAATCAAGGAGGGCGTGCTCGTATATGGGCCTCATTCAATTGATTATTTATAGATTAGGAGGTACACAAGGTGATGATAGGTATCTGCCATATAATGATCGATTTCAATGTTTGTAGGAAGACTAATTCAATAATTTTATTGCTCATTTATAGTTACATAGTAACGTGAAGGCAAATAACAAAACAACAAATATACAAAGAAACTGCAAAAGTGAACAATATATAAACTTACACAGACGCAAGGCCCACAGTTCTCAGTTCAAGTGACTGTTTTATGTATTAGCACTAGTCAAGTATAAGTTGCATATTGTCAGAAAATAAAATATGCGTTAAAGCATTTGTGTATAGTATAGATGTTTTGAATATTGTTACTTAAATAGCCCTTTCTCAGCTGTGCATTATAGCCACACCTGAAGAAGAAATGTTCATCTTCTAGATCAAGACATCTAGTGTTTTTCTTGATCTTCCTATCGCTAGTTCAAGATTATGCTCACACAATCTCAATTTTGAATACAAAATTCTTAATGTTTTGAAATTATTAGTATCCGTCATCGATTGTAGTTTCCTGAAAATACTGGTTTCAAACTCTAGGGCCTGCTTACAGAACTTAAGATGAATTTGTTCTATGGGTGACTTGTCAATGATTGCAAAGCAATCAATTTTTTTGTTATTATTTTGTGCTCTCCTTTTAGCATTAATTTGTTTATGATACATATCCATGTAACACATTTCAGCATTGTAGGTTGAAATTGGTTTGACAAGGGCAGAGAAAAGTCTTCATTGTGCAGCAATTAGGAACAAACAAAAAAATTAAGATTTTTTTCTTAATTGAAAAAAGTACTTTTAAACCATTATTTGATAATTCCTTCATGGATATTATAAATTTGCCTGCAGAGTTAATAATATTACCCAAAAATATTTGTATTCCTGTGTCGTATTAATCATGTTAACTCCCTGGAAAATCTAGCTTTTGTTAGTTTATGTTAATAGAAAGTTTCCAGTTGTTACACTATTCATATAGTTTGTCTAGTGAAGCGTGCAGACCTTATGCCCAGACGCCGCGAAAGGAAACATGTACGCTATTATCAATGTCGGTAGGCAGCCCTTTCTGTGTCTCTCATACGTCTGGCAAGTCGTTTTGTGTCTATGGTAGATGCACATTGACCTAAATAGCATAATAACCTGTTATTGTCTTTAACCTTGCATTGCAGAAACATCAATGGTGTGATCACACCGAAGGGAAGATGACAGCAGAGAGCAATGCCTATACAAAGACGTTTAAAGTTACAATGTCTTCCATTGGCTTTACTTTGCAAATGTTTGTTATGGTTCCTTCTATCCGGAGACGCGACAAGTCACATAACGCTTGATTGACTTTTGACTCTGGTATAAGTGTACGGTGACCGATATATTTATCTTGTTTTATTATATACCGCTATACAGTAAACTTGTATTTCGTTTTCTTCCTTACTTATGATATATCCACGGTAATATTTCCACGCTATATTGTTCAACATACAGCAGGAACTATTTTGCTGACAGGTAATATATAGCGTTTAAGTATACATAATTAGAAACACAAGCATTCAGTAGTACTCAAACATGTAGTTGTAGGTGAGTGTACCCAAAATTGGAAAATTTTAATATATATGATGCAGCATATTTGCATTTTGCAATAAATATTAATGGTATGTATTTTGAATCAAGATTTATTAGGTTAATGCATTTTGAGCAAACTTAATCTGCTTGCCTATTAAACATTGCTCATAAACTCAATTGAAATATCAAAAAAATGAAATGAAAAATTTATACCCGGAACGGTACGGTGCGACAACATAAATATATCTCTAAACATGGAAAATTATATGCTCAGACAAATATTTTAGGGAATAAATTACTAAAATTTGTCAGAATTTGTCAAAACTTTTCTGAATTGAAGAAAACGATTTTAAATGCTGTCGGGTATTTTCATAAACCGACATATATAATGACATGTTATAGTTTGGGTACTCGACCAGCTTAAAACTCCTGGTGAATCTGAATCTGAGCTCTATAAATATACACACGTGCTGTTGATACCCGAGAAATAGTTACAATGAAGGCTAAAGGCATGCATTATTTCGTTTCATTAAAAAAAATCGTCTTTCAGAAACTTTATATGTTATATTAATATTTTTCTTAAAAAATGTTTCATTTTGGGTTCCCTCACCCTATGTAAGGCTTTTCAACATACATGTTTTGAGAGATAAAATACCGCTAGAGATGGGAGGGGGATATTATAATACCATTTTGTATCTATATGTCAAAGTGATCTATTTAATTCGCACTTAAACGATAGTCCTGCCTGTATGTGTGGTTGTCCTATTGAAGATTGTGATCATTTCGTCTTCCATTGTCCTTTTTATATTAACCAGCTAAGGAATTTTAGGAAAATTTCCATCGATGGGTAAAACCCGGGGACACGCTCACTAATGCATCAACGGCGAGCGTTGTCGTTACTATAGCTGGATGGGTGACCGCCTGTACGTTACAGATATTAGACTATTTTTCCCAATTATTTCCCATTCATTTTGAAATATTTACTCGAATGTACATATTGTAATCTTTACTGACAGCGATGCTTATGAAACTGTTACATTTCCTAATACAGTGAACAAGGCTTATCGCAGATTCTGTGCTATGAAAACGTCTAAATATATATATAGGTAGACCGAATAGAAATGTCACTTTATTAATCAAAATAGGTAAATACAGAAAACGATTCTCAGTTCATTAGAAATTCTGGATTCATCGCATTACCCCAAAAATATGTATACATGTGTCTCTTTCTATATTACAGAAATTATAGTTTTGAGGACTATTTGCAAAAGCATAAAAAAAAATTCCGTGCTAAAGTTTCTAAATTTAAATCAGAGAAAACTTTATTTCATTTGGTTCTACCGGTTAAAATACTATGGTTTGTCACAAATACAGAGACCCTTTATAGTATAGTTTTTATCTATAGGAAACACTTATTCGCCATTTGGTTGACTAAGTCGAGAAAGTGATCTTTTAAGTACAAAAAAATTCCCCAAAAATATGTATACATGTGTCTCTTTCTATATTACAGAAATTATAGTTTTGGGGACTATTTGCAAGCATAAGATTTTTTTCCGTGCTAAAGTTTCTAAATTTAAATCGGAGAAAACTTTATTTCATTTGGTTCTACTACATATACCAGTTATATATAAAACAAATAACCAAATAGAAACATATATTATATGAAACATAACTGCTGATCTACTGTGTTACACATATTTATAAATATATATAACCCTGGGAGGATAAGAAATCATCAAATCCGCAGACTTCATATCAGTATATACTTACAACTGAATAAAGGAAATCAATGTTTAGGAACGTTTCACATCAGACAATAAGACTGTATCATTTTTAACTATTTGAAATACGCAAAACTAGTTTACAAAGGCACATATTATCTTTTGATTTAAATTCTAATTGATGTATTATGCATTTGATTTCGTTTGGGTTAAGCTATTATTTTTCAAATATATACAATATCAACAAGGTTCTACACAGTCTGATAATTTAAACTGTACAAATTTATAAAACACCTTTTTATATTATTGAATGATTGGAATTTATGAAGGCTATCAATTCTAATCGTTTCCTAAATTTCTCTACTAAAGAAAGTAATAAAGCAAACTTTATGAAAATCTTACCTTCAGTGTTGACATCTTTTCCCGAGGCAACTGTTCAAATTAGATTATGCATCCTTTTATAAAGACAAAAAAAAAACAAGAGAGTGCAGCCATTAGTGAATTAAAGTTTACACATGCGCAAAACGTTTGCTGTCAATAATTGGACATTAAGGAACAACGTCATTACCTAGTTAATCCTGTTAATGCCAGTTTCCACGAGCTCTCATTATGTTCGGACGTGCACATGCGCACATGTTATGATTACGTGAACCATTGTTTGTAGCACAGGATAACTTCCTGGTACATATAAGTATCCTTACTCATTAGTGAGTGACAGTAAGTATAGTATACACCTACACAGAGCTACTCCATACACATGGACACAGACACAGTCTGCAGAGATGTACGTATACAAGCTTTGTTACAATGATTGTTCCTTTTAATAGAAGTACATATACATTTATGTTCTGTGGTAAATTTTCATTGATTACGAACGTATATAAAATATATAAATCACTCTTGCACTCTTTTGATTGATCAGGTGAAAATGTAAATGTATAGATGTCGACTAGATAGTTTGCAATCTCAGGAATATCTATATTTTGACCGATATATCTTTTTCATTTTTGTCAGCCCTATCAAAAATATAGTTAAACCTAAATCTACTTCACAAACAGCGAGTTCTTTCTATAATTCCAACAGACACTAAAATATACTATGTGAACTACACACAGCAAATCCTTTTACTTAGTGTAGCAAATTGTAATTAAAGAACTAATCAAAATTACGTACAGGGTGGTTTTTTATTTTGCTGATTGACGATATTTCGTACAGCGATGTAGCGGCCATACGTCGTTTAAAGGTTCCCTATATATATACGTATCCATCGTGGTACAGACTGACAATTACACGAAGTCTATATATACATGTAGCTGTATAACAAAGCAATTCCCTGTAAACAGCGCATGCGTGCATCATGCTGGAATTACTTAAGAATACCTGTCCCAGTGCAGACAAAACACTAAAGATACCTCTGTGGGTTTTTTGTACAAACATGCAGTAACTGCCCCCTTAACTTGCAGTTGGGCAAAACTATTTCTGTTTACAAGGTGCCTTAGTTGGTAAGAGTGTCAGTATAAAATCTAAGGATCAGGGTTCAAATCGTAGTCTAGCCACGCTGGATTTTTCACACAAAACACTGTTATTGATAATATTGTCATTTCATCTTTGTTATATTAGCATAAACGTGCCGCAAGGTATGGCTTTTCTTTTGAGATATGATTTGTCAAAACTACAACAATGTCGGGGAAAAATAGTTTCAAATGCAGAAACAAACCTTTCGGCGTGGGTACAGAGATACTTAATAAAAATGTAAGTTTTATTCAGCTACGTGTATATCCATTTAAAAAAGCACATATACATTTATTAAATCAATGAGCTAAAAGCTAAAATCATTTCGTTGTGTTAATTAAGGTATATGCCAGTTTGCATATTTGTGTCTTTCAGTTGCGACATGGTGTGTTGGAGTATGTATGCCAGAGTTGAGAGAGCGATTGGGAAGGTGTTTGCAAGGTATGGAGAATTTGTTGGTACCTATCCATGGATTTTCCTAACAGTTTCCGTACTTGTGTGTTGTTTACTGGGGATTGGACTTATCAACCTGAAATCTGAAACAAACGTAGAGAAGGTCTACACACCAATGGATAGCCAGGCCTCTAAAGACAGAAGTACGATCAGAAACCTGTTTAGCGATTACTCTGGTACGAACTTTTACTCACAGAACCTAATTGAAAGGAATCTACACGGCAGTGTGATTTTCAAAAGCAAAACCTCGTCAAATCTGCTCAGCCTCACTAATATACAGGAAATAAAGACAATTCACGATCAAATCAAAGCGAACGTGTTTGGAAATGGAATGGACTATTCGCAGTTGTGTGCTGTTCGAGCTTCCCAGTGTGTTGTGGACGGTGACCTCATTTTCACAACTAACTTTCAACAGCTGCTTCAGAATGACAATATTACCTATCCAGTTCTTGGTACTGTTTCTATTGAATCTGTTTTTGGTGATGTGACTCTTCAGAACGGAATACTGCAGTCTGCCAAATTGGTTAAGTTAGTTTTCAACTTACGACAGGACAACCAACAGTTCACGGATAGTTCCAAATTATGGGAAAAAGACTTTGTGTCCTACATGAAAACCCTCCAATCACCGATATTGGATGTCGTGTATGCACATTCGTCATCTCTGGACGAGGAGCTAACAGCGAACATCCGTGGCGACATAGTATTTGTGTCGCTGACCTTCACCTTGATGATCGTGTACGCGACTTTTGTCACCTTGACCTGTGATTGCTTGCTTGACAGACAAAATTTGGGCCGGGCTGGTGTCATAGCAACCGGACTAGGCATCGTAGCTTCATTTGGGCTGGTCAGTGCTTGTGGGGTGGAGTTCGTCTCCATTGTTGGGGTGATGCCTTTTCTTATATTAGGTGAGTAATTAAATTATAAATAACGTGTAATATAAAACGTATAAAGTATCGAGAAAGTTAAATATGTCATGCCATAGCGTGTGTAAACAAATAAAATATGTTTTACTCAAATATTTAAATAGATAAACAAATCGTATATTTCCATGCCATGTTTGGTGTATAAGTAATTTGTTATTCCAAATAATCCGTTTATCGTGATGATTTTACAGAAGGCTAAATTAATCAAACGTGTATGTGTGCGATAAATAGAACTTGAGATATATTTCAGGTAATACGTACCTTACGTTTCATTGATGGTCTAAATACGGAACCGTGTCATCATTACAATGATTATGCAGACATCCGTTGTCACTACAAACTTATCTCATGTAAATGTCAAATTCATTCAGCTTATCTCTTTATATGTTGGCTCGGATGAATACATATGTTTCTAATTTTTAGAGCTTTTGGTTTGATTTTCTTAGACTGGAAGAAGATATTCATGGTCCAAAATACCACGATTAGTATTTGACTTGACGTGTCTGTGCGCAAAACACTATACTAATATCAATTTATTAGCACAACTACGTTTTTGAATCAATACTGCATAACAAATGCTATCAATACATTACAAAATACTTGTACACTGGACATTATAAAGCTGTTGATGCAAGACTAGAGGAATTACCTCCCTTTGGTCACATGTCTACTATCTTAATTTATGTGATATATCATGATATTTATGTTACCGGTTGATCGATGGAACAAACAGTAAATCAAAATAAGAAATCAAATAAGAGAATTAAATTGTTCCTATGATAGTAAGGGACAGCTGATATTTGTCAGTTTACAGTGTTATATAAATAGAGGAATACTTTCAATCTCAATTTAAATTAAGAACATTGCGGTTTGTGAAAATTGATTAAATTCTTCATTCAGAAACTTAATAATTGGGAAACAAGAATTAAATAGGATATAATGTAGCAAGTCCCGGTTTTCCACAGTACATAATAAACATGATTTTGATGAATAGATCTATACATTAGGGCTAACTTATAGGATAAATTGGTAGACAAACACAAAATTAATGTTATATTTTCTTTACATTTTTAACAGTCAACAGTATTTTTGATTTGTATTATAAATGCATAACATGTGATATAAATATGCATATTGTGTAGTGTTTTTTTGTTTACCTAGATATTTCCATGTGTTTTATCCAGGTATCGGGATTGATGATATGTTTATACTGTTGGCCGGACTCGCAGAGGCCCCGTTACTTGAAACAACCCCAAAACGAGTTGCAGAAACCATGCGCACTAGTGGAGTGTCAATAACTATCACATCCCTGACTGACATACTAGCATTCGGTGTGGGTGCCTCCTCTGTTTTCCCTGGCGTGCGGAACTTTTGCATATTTACAGGTGTGTATATTTAATAAATATACCTCGTATGGAATATTTGGTTTTGGACTGAACATCTTTTTTTGGTAAAACAACATTATATGCTAGCTGATTAATTTTGTCTCAATATAAATGTGCGAAAATAAGAGGCAAAATGACATTCTCAATAAGCTATGGACGACCTTAGTAAAAACAACATGGAGTCAGTCTATCCTGCCACCATAAATATTTTATTAAATCGTCAATATAAAGTAAGGTCAGGTATGGGGAGGTATATTTTATGTTTTAGTTTGATAACCACAATTGTTTTTCTGCACATCAGAATTTCCTATTTGATGTAAAACAGATATATCAATACGGTGTGAAAAGAAAAAAGCTGGTATGTCGTAGAGTTAGACAGTGATGTTGATAAAATAAACAAATATATCAACAATTATTTTTGTAGTGTTCGTAACTTATATTTTTTAATTTATATACAACTCTGTTGTGTACAGCACTTATCTGTTGTAGTATTCGTAACTTATATTTTTTAGTTTATTTACTTCTCTGTTGTGTACAGCACTTATCTGTTGTAGTATTCGTAACTTATATTTTTGAAATGATTATCTTTACAATCCCTCACAAGGATAATGATCAATCATTCAAACATGTAGAGAATGTTTAACAAAAAATGCAGTTTTGTTTGTTAATGCATGCGTCCATGAGAACGTGCGTGTATGTCTTCCTGTTCCTTTTTCGAATTAAATTTCTCTGCTTTGAAAAAAGATTCCCGATGATATATATTCACGGCAATAACGTTATTATTACTAAATGACAATACAAAACTGACATGCATGTCGATGCGGACAACTCACAGTTCAGATTCGGAAAATGAACTTATAATGATTTTCTCTTTGTGTTTTCAATTATCTAGATGTTTAAACTAGATATTTTGACAAGAATTAATGACAACGCACCTGTTTATGTCATTGCATCAGTCTTCGCTAATCTGTTGCAGGGGTTGCTGTCCTGTTTTGTTATATCAACTTCGTGACCTTCTTCATCGCCTGTATTGCGATCAACGATAGAAGGATATCAGCTAACAGACACTGTTTATGCTGCCACCCAATCGAAATGAAGAGTGACATGGCAACCGCTTCCCCGTTACGTCGGTTTTGCTGTGGCGGCACTGCTCCTTCCTCCGAGATAGAAATGCAGAGTCTACTAGAACGTATGCCTGGCAAGATTCTCACTAAATTCATCATCCTGAAGCCTGTGAAAGTCATCGTACTCATTTGTTTCGCAGTTTATCTAGGCATTGCAATATGGGGCGCCACTGATTTTCAACAGGGTCTTGATACGAAAAACCTAGTTGCTGACGATTCATACTATTTCCACTATAATTCCCTTGATCAGCAATATTTTACTCAAAGGGTTCCAGTTTCATTTGTTTTCGACGAAACATTGGATTATACCAAGGTTTCTACGGTACAGGCGATTGATGGGTTGGTGGCAAATATCCAAAATGACAAATCTGTTGGTAATAATAATTTGATTATCAGTTGGTTTCACAGTTTTAGGTCATCTGCAAATTATGATACCTCAAGTGAAACGCAATTTGTAACCAATTTGAAAACATTTCTCATTTCAAATTATCAATATGAAAACGATATTCAGTTTGACAGTACTGACCTAAGAATTCGAACCTCTCGCATATACATACTCACTAACAATCTGGTTGTTTCATCTGAACAAGGAGATTTTATGTTACGAATGAGAGGTCTTACCGAAGACTCCTCTTTAAGTGTTATCGCCTACGCTCCTAGTTTTATTTTCTATGAGCAGTACGTTGAAATACTCCCATCAACCCTTCAAACTGTAGGTATAGCTGTGGCGGTCATATTTGTAGTAACTGCACTTTTCATGCCCAGCCCACTTCTGATAATCTTTGTCACTGTTTCCATGGTAATGATCATGACAGGCATTTTTGGCTTCATGCATTTCTGGGACTTAACTCTAAGTTCAATCACAATGATACATATCATTATGAGTGTGGGGTTCTCAGTGGATTTCAGTGCCCATATCTGCCACGCCTTTATGACAGTGGAAGGGGGCACACGTGATGATAAAGTCATATACGCCATCTTACGTTCTGGTGGGCCAATATGGAACGGAGCTATCTCTTCATGCATAGGGATCATAATGCTGGTCTTCTCCAAATCATACATATTCCGGTCTTTTTTCAAGGTCATGTTACTTGTGATCTTATTTGGAATCGGACATGCGCTGTTTTTTCTTCCTGTTCTGCTATCTCTTATAGGGCCCATAGAGAATACGAAACCTAGTGGTTCTTCTGTTGCAAATCAAGCAAATGGACCAGCTGCTGTTTAATCTGGACATAAAAACATCGCTTACTGCACAGAGCGGGAAAAAGACATTAAAGACCCAAACGCACAAGGTTCGAGTCTTTGAAAAGAACAATGGTGAATTATATCGTTCATCTAACTTATTTAAGCTGTGATAAAACATTATTAATTCTAGCAAATCAAATCGCCTTTTATTGCCTCAGTGGTATGCACAAATTTTATTTTGAATTTCAATTTTTTTGAGACTGGAAGAACTGTCAATTCGGTTCTTACCCGTTTATTTTGAACACCTAGTCCTATGATCCTATGATCTCAGATAAGTAAAATTAACAAAAACCACCAAGTTCCACCAATGAAAATAAACATGAATATCCTATATAACATACAGGAAAAAAGAAAAATGGCGATGTTTTGTTCTAGTTGGTGTCAACAGAGAAATATTTTCAAGATCTTATTAGAGGTTTTCAGTATGTGTACCTTGGACGATCAGGAGGGCAGAATAAAAGTGATAACTGCTAGTTTTGTTCTCACATTTTTTTTGTTCCTGTATGCGTTAAAACTGTGCGTTAAAACTGTGATATATTTGTTCTGTAACAGGTGACAAAATGAATAACATACGTCATTCTAGGTTTCCTTAGAAAGACTTGTTGAACTATCTCAACACTAAGTTATTATTTTTTTAAAATGTTTATTTATTCTTTTAATATATTTTATATTTTTCATTTCACAATATTATTTATTTTTTCGCTTAATAAATCATTTTAGATATCAGTATTAGTGTGTATTTTATACAGATTTCGATAGGATTTTTTTAGAAATATTAGTTTGATCCTTATAACACGTCATTTTCAATTATTGCAAGAGAGCTGTATTCACAATATATCTTCCTATTATATTTCTAGATTGCGTGCATTTGTATTCAACAAAACATCCTCATCATTTAATGACCGTTGTTAACGTTTTCGTAATCATTCCTGTGATTGTTTTAGCATTATGAAAAATCAAACAGTAGAATTTAATGTTTTCCAGTATAATTGTAAATGTAAATAGTATTCCTTTAGATGTATTTTCGTTGTTTTTTCTATGATTACTACAAAAAAAATCGAATTCGAAAGCTTGCGAGAATAATGTAAGCATTCTCGCACAATTAGCACATGTAAAGTTGATGTAAAATTACCTTTTAGTCGCCATTCACCATCACCTGTTCAGCTATTTCAGCCGTTCACTCGATCAGTTAATAATAAATGTACTAATTTAACATTAATATCGTCCCTTTTGCGACACGAAAAAAATCATGTGTTCCTCGAACAGATTACAGCCAACCAGGTTGGAATATTGAACACCAAAACACATTAAGATTGCCTCATATATCTCACTGTTGATGTAATAACCAAATTTCTTAATCGAAAGCGAAAATAACAGAAAGTAGTCGAAACCCACCCGTATTGGAAGTCTTTTACATAGAGCCACAGATAATTTTGTCATCATAACAATAAACACACTTAAACACAGCAAGGATGTCATAATGAAGTCTCATTTTTTATTCAAATTACTAACATTATCAATTTTTAATTTACATATTATAACTCCGTGTCACATTATATATTAAACGGTTACCGAATATCACGAATGTCACATGAATATTTGATAAAAGTCTCAGTTTGCACCTATCACCTTTCGATGAAAATCAAATAGCATTCTTTATTTTTTCATATGTTCATCCTTTACTCATTTCCTCAAGTATCGGTGCTTTATTCCAGGAAACACATAGGTGGACCGACGTGACTGTTTCAAATGAATCCGCTCGGGTCTCCTAATGGATAACGTCCTTGTTCTCCATTGTATTGCTTGCCATGTCTTGTAAGTGTCGCTTTCTCGGACATATTCCTTCTTTGTGGAATCAAAACAAAATCAACCAAGTGATTTTGTTTTTATTCCACAAGAAGGAATATATTTTATTTTTGCACAAACTGAAATAAGGTTGTTATGTTGATATTGAACAAGGCCTTTCCTACTTAACATTGTTATGATATTAGTTAATAAAAGGGAGACAACCATGTTGTTATTTCGATATGATATCGAACGGCTTTACTAAAGAGAAATTACTATTTTGCTGTTATTAACTCCATGATCTGGCCATTCCATGTAACAATCCTTCGATGATTAAATTTAAATCAAATCATATGATTAAAACATATGACATGGAACCTTAGTTTACTTTCAATTTCCCAATCCTAGACGATTGTTTATGGTGTTCATTTGTTGTATGGGGTACTTGTCTTTATCATGATAATGTCATTAACAATTCCGTCTTTGCGTATTGCAGAGTTATCTTCTCTTGAGAGCAGGTATTGATTGTCACGTCATTGGTTCGTGTGAGAAAATTACGTCGTTTTCTCAAAAATTGATGACGTTACTCTCACAAACAAATGACGTAACAATCAATACCTGCTCTCAAGAGAAGATAACTCTGCAATACGCAAAGACGGAATTGGTAAGTGTTGGGTAAAATTAAATAGCTAGTGTCGTCGGACATTAAAGTTGTATTTTGTTTCTCGATTTGTTTTGTCTGCGATACATACCGTTATCACAGTATTTATTTATCTATCACTAAAAAAATGATCAATGTTACGTACATTATATCATACCAATGTATAATCAAAGTTACGTACATTATATCATACCAATGACGCACTGATCGCTATATACATGTATCTTCCATATAGCACAAATCCACATTTAACAATACTAGCTAAATCAGGAAACGTATTCATGAAAGCGTTCTATGCTCAAGCATGAATTCTCAGTTCAAATCAACTTTTTGTAACGACCTTAAATCATGTGATACAATCAAAAGCGTCAAGTGTAAATATCAAAATGGTATCGGTACTCTCGAAAAAATTCTTCGAAATCATTGACAAAATGTGATTTTCTATTGTTTTACCACCAGAACATTGAATTGGGCTTGAGCAAAGAATCTGAGATTGAGCATGAGAACGGGGTAATGAATACGAATCTTGTGAAATCCAGTAACGTTGTTATACTGTGGTGTGTGTCAGTAATCTACATGTAACTGTCTCATAATCCGTCTTATGCTGAAAAAGCAGCCAGGGATGTGTGTTGTCAAGGCTCTACAACTGTGTTCCTACCGTAGCTATTTTAAAACCACAAATACTACTTATAAACCTACTATCTTTTGTATAAACTAGATTCTTATTTTGATCTAGTGTAATGTCTTGTCCATTTTTTAATAAATTGTTTTCCCAATTCCTTTGATTTTTATTCTTCTGATAAAAAAATCTAGTAAAATATTTAAATGTTATTGTCAAAAAACAGTTATCAAATCACATCTGTCTCTCATGGTGACAGTTGTCAGTGAATTTTTCAAATTTATACATGTTATTAGTGAAACTAATAATGAAAATAAAATGCATGGTAACACATGCAAATTATGATTATATCCACAGCAAACAACTTTTAAAATTGACATTAGAAAACTTTTGGGAACCTGTTGCAGTCCTTCAACCTTAATTTGTGTTCAATTATTTCAGTGTTATATTGAAATTAATGTAAATCTTTATAATAGCAGTTTAGCTACTTGGTAGATTAAAATATACAGATTATTTTCAGACTAGAAACTTGCCTGGAATATTGAATTTATAATGATGTTGTTTGGTCCATTTCAATAAGGCAACTACCATATTAAAAATATCTTTGGAAACTATCATTTACAAATTAAGAATAATGTATAACTATATTCAAAACAAACATCGTGATAAAAGATAATCAATATTTATGAATAGTACATTTTGCATTAACTTAATGTGACTTAAAAGGCAAGACTTATCTACATTCATGTCATAAAAGAAAGAGATACAACAATGATAAACACAGTAAACAAAACAAAACGTTAAAATAACCTTCAAGACATGTATGACAAAATGTGTAATTTAAAAGAAACAAAAACTTACCACAACATTTAAACACAATTGGATATAAGTCAATATAGAATGACATTCCAGGTACTCAGAAGAAATCAAAACAAACGGAAAGACATCGTTAACCCGCACAAAAGTAGAGTCAAGACAAGGTACTACAGCAAGGTATAAGTGCAGTAATTAATTTACACACTGCAATAGATAAAAGACTTTATTCTTTTGTGAACCTCTGTATATAGGTACAAAGTCCTTTTTTTTATCTATTTCAAGAACACATTTGGGCAGTTTACTCAACATGCAAGTAATGTTCTCAAGACGATGTTACACAATTCAATTGAAAGGAAAACAGTAAGAAAAATAATGATGAATAAGAAGTTATTAGAAATTAGTATTTAAATCTTAACAAGCTTAGGTCAACATTAAACTCAGAACATATGTACACGGTGATATCATAAATAATAAGTAAAATCATTGTTTACATTTAAACAAGAGGCACAGAGGGCCTGTATCGCTCACCTGGAAATGTTAGCAAAATTGAAGTTAGAATAGCATAGTGTTACTGGAAGTGTACAAGTATTACATGGTTAGTCAGGGTTTATATTTATATGCAATTGGACAAAATCTTGTCATTCCTAAAATAAAAAGGAGGCTTTCGAAGAATTGGATGTTTCCTAATGGGCCCACCTCTCTGTCCCCAAGGGGGGTCAGACCCATCGTTGATACAAAATTAGGTCCCCTTCACCCAAGGATACTTTAGACCAAATATGGACATAATCCTGTCATTCCTACAGAAGGAGAAGGATTTTGAAGAATTTGCTATGTTTCCCCTATTGGGCCCCACCCCTCAAGCCCTAGAAGGTCCAACCCCATCATTTATACAAAATTGATTTCCCTTCCCCATAGGATGCTACTGTTCAAATTTGGTCAAAATACCTTCATCCCAAAGGAAGAAGAAGGAAATTAAAACTATTCCTCTATATCCCTTATTGGGCCCCGCCTCTCTGTCCCCAGGGGGGTCAGAGCCACCGTTTCAACAAATTTGGTTCCCCTTCAGCCAAGGATGCTTCATACCAAATTTGGACAAAATCCTGTCATTCCTACAGAAGAAGGATTTTAAAGGTTTTACCTTCTATTTCCCCTTATTGGGCCCCGCTCTTCTGCCCCCAGGGGGGCCACACCCACCCTTTATAAAAAATTGAGTCCCCTTGGCCCAAGGATACTCCAGACTAAATAAAGATAAAATCCCTTGATCCCTATGGTAGAAGGATTTTAAAGGTTTTACCTCTATTTCCCCTATTGGGCCCCGCCCCTCTGCCCCCAGGGGGCCACACCCACCGTTTATACAAAATTGAGTCCCCTTGGCCTAAGGATGCTCCAGACCAAATTTAGTCAAAATCTACTCGGCCGTTCAGGACTAGTAGCGTTTTAAAGGAAAAGTTGACGGACGGACGGACGGACGGACAGACGGACGCTGCGGTATGGCATAAGCTCACCAAGATCCAAAGGACCAGGTGAGCTAAAAATGAACATTAACAACAAATGTTCTAAGCAATTCCTGATTGAGATGTAATGTATAATGTAATGTATATTACACTTATTTGTTATTTTCTAAAATTCTATCATTTTACTAATTTGTGACAAGAAAATAATGATTACTTAAATACCTTGGTAGACATTTGAGAGACTGAATGCCTTGAAAATAACCAGAAAAAATAAAGCGCTGAACATAAACTCCGTTCATGTACTGTGATTAAAACAGTACAGGAAATATTCTTTACAATTTTACTTAAACATGCCAGGCCAAGGACAATCGGTCAGTTAGGCTATAACACTAAATAATGGGATATGAAGCTATATCTACCCACATTTGTATTTTCATACCTGCTTTAAATGAAAACAAAGCATACTCATTGCTGCTGAAAGTTCTCATTGACTTTTTGTACCCCCTTCTTCTGAACACTTGTAGTAATGTTGCACTGGTCTACAGATGCAAAATTAAACATAACCTAAACATAAACACGAAAATTACATCGAAAAAAAAGCTGTACACATACAACTGTACAAGTATATACACAAACAATGTACAGTATACACAAAAACTGTACAGTATACACAAACATTGTACAGTGTACACAAACATTGTATAGCGTACACAAACATTGTACAGTATACACAAACATTGCATAGTGTAGACAAACATTGTACAGTGTACACAAACATTGCAGAGTGTAGACAAACATTGTACAGTATACACATACATTGTACAGTGTACACAAACATTGCAGAGTGTCGACAAACATTGTACAGTATACACAAACATTGCATAGCTTAGACAAACATTGTATAGCGTACACAAACATTGTACAGTATACACAAACATTGCATAGTGTAGACAAACATTGTACAGTGTACACAAACATTGCAGAGTGTAGACAAACATTGTACAGTATACACAAACATTGTACTGTGTACACAAACATTGTATAGCGTACACAAACATTGTACAGTATACACAAACATTGCATAGCTTAGACAAACATTGTATAGCGTACACAAACATTGTACAGTGTACACAAAAATTGCAGAGTGTAGACAAACATTGTACAGTATACACATACATTGTACAGTGTACACAAACATTGCAGAGTGTAGACAATCATTGTACAGTATACACAAACATTGTACAGTATACAAAAACATTGCAGAGTGTACACAAACATTGTACAGTATACACAAACATTGCAGAGTGTACAAAAACATTTTATAGCGTAAACAAACATTGTACAGTATACACAAACATTGTACAGTGTACACAAACATTGTTCAGTATACACAAACAATGTTCAGTATACACAAACATTGTACAGTGTACACAAACATTGCAGAGTGTACACAAACATTGTACAGTTTACACAAACATTGTATAGCATACACAAAAATTGTTCAGTATACACAAACATTGCATAGTGTAAACAAACATTGTATAGCGTACAAAAACAATGTACAGTGTACACAAACATTGTATAGCATACACAAACATTGTACAGTGTACACAAACATTGCAGAGTGTAGACAAACATTGTATAGCATACACAAACATTGTACAGTATACACAAACATTGTACAGTGTACACAAACATTGCAGAGTATACACAAACATTGTACAGTATACACAAACATTGTATAGTATACACAAACATTGTACAGTATACAGAAACATTGCACAGTATACACAAAGATTTTTCAGTATACACAAACAATGTTCAGTATACACAAACATTGTACAGTGTACACAAAAATTGCAGAGTGTAGACAAACATTGTACAGTATACACAAACATTGCACAGTATACACAAACATTGTACAGTGTACACAAACATTGTACAGTACACAAAAACATTGTACAGTATACGCAAAAATCGTTCAGTGTACACAAACATTGTACAGTATACACAAACATTGTACAGTATACACAAACATCGTTCAGTGTACACAAACATTGCACAGTACACACTTGTATAAATTTTAACGTTGTATGGTATACGGACGTTCTAATTTTTATGCATACAATGTTCAATAGACAGGACTTAAGATATAAAGTTCAGAACATGAGAAGGAAGAAATCAAAACTACAGATTTTACTAACAACATCTTTTTTAAAACCACCGGCCCTATACATGTACATATTAAACATAACAAAACATAGGAAGTAGCCTCGTCTGTCAATCCACCAATTGTTTATAATATTGGTGTTTTGACATACAAGGCTAGAACCAGTGTAACAAAATAATCAATGCAAACAATTAACAATATAATTAGTAACAACTAACAAAATCAATATCTACATTTTGGTATCAATGTATACATGTATAACTCTAAAATCTAAACAAAACCTGGTAATACTTGTTTTATCGACTAACATAATCTGTTCCACCAATCATATTAAAACTTATCCTTTAGATAGTTGTACTCAGTCTTGTCAACTTACAAAGTATAATAAAAAAAAGAAATTCAAAATTCTTATTGTAAAAACAAATGATAAAATTAACATGCTCATTACATAATGAAAATTAAACCAGACTTTAAAATAAGGTAACTTCAAAAACAAGAAATGAAGCATCATTTTAAAAACATTGAACACTGTTAATGAACAAATGATAAAATAAAAAACAAGCAGATCAGACATAACAATCGATGAACAAGATCAAACCGATTCCACAGGTCTTGCCTGCTTTTAGATCTAATTAAAACAATTTGATTAATTGCATACAAAATAGAATTAAACTTTTAGAAAAATTAAGTTTTATCAATATTGCCATATTAAGATGTAGGACTGTAAATCAGAATTCCTCTTCTGCAGAAAAATAGCTGTCTGCAAATTTGTCAAATCCTATTGAAATGATGCCGTCTTGATCAACTCTTACAGGGTATATGGCCATCAACAAGTCCCGCCCCCGTGGCATTGTGCTCTTCCCAGTGTCGAGGTCAAACCTCCAACTGTGCCATGGACACCGCACACACAAACCCCCTCCTGGTATTTCCTCAATATCCCCCAAATGTAGGGGACCTCCTATAGGGGCAAAGAAAAGGAAATCATACAAAGAGGCCAGCTGAGTGGGCTAAAAACGTAAAACTCATATGTAATTATCAAAGTGTTATTGCGAAAATTTTATTGGTTGCATTTTCACCCTTTTGCTGTATTATTACATAGACATGTTATTTTGACCTTTGGTACCATTGTTGAGTCCTAAATATGTAGCTGAAATAACAAATCTGTGAAGATTTTTTTTGCTTTAAGCTTGGTTTTCTACATCAATTTGACAAAATTATGGTAAATAGGATCTTCCTTTATATTTGTAGTGATTACTTGAGGTGGCATGGTGGTTAACTCTGCTGGTGGACTATTATACCCAGCTTTTGATATACTGTATAGCAGTTAAGAGTCAAGAAGTTATATTTAACGTCGCATATACATGTAACATAATAACATTAACACTGTAGTGCTATTCTTGCGACAAGAATTATATTTTGCGGGGGGTTTGATTTCGCTTTATTCGCGCTTTGACTTATATCCCCAAATTCTAAACACAAGCAAACTTATCAAAAATGTTAACCACTTTTACGGACCTTATCACAACATGTTGAAAATTCTTATGACCCAACGCTGTTATGCAACCTTAAATGAACTTGAATGAGATTATCACCAGACAACTGATTTTCTTTTGAGTGAAGTCACTATAGCGGACACTCAGGATCAATGATATCAAACAGTTTACCTGTATTTCGAGGTTTAATCCGGGGGGATCCTTAAATGATGACACTCAAAACATTTTGCATGAAACATGGGATTCGGGTGCACAGCGACATTTAAGCCCCACGAAGATGTACTGAATATGATACCACTAAATATTGACCCTGCGAATTTAAAGCGCTATACAGTAGTGCATACCCTATCTAGCTAGAATAGGTCACTCTAAGGCATTTTACTCTACAAAGATATGCAATACATACAATCAATAAAATACATCATTTAATATAATTTGAAGATTCTCACAGACGCTGCCTTATTAGGCACTATCTACTTATAGTCCTATGCCATTTTGCTAATACCTCCACGCTTATGAATACATGTGTGTGTATGTGTGTGTGTGCTGGAGATGTACGTGTATTTGTATTCTGTGGGACAGTGCTTCCAATCACTATTCTTTATACAATGTTATCACACTTAAATGCTACAACACAGACAATGTAGCACCATTCACCTCACACCATTTTATTATAAAAACAAGAGTACCCCAGGGCGGAACAAAATACGCCCGTCGAATGCCATATAGTGTTATATACTTTCTTACATTGAAATAAGATCTGCATCATTCTAAGAGTGGTTAGCTGATATGCTATAAAAATGTAGGAGAAAATCTTCAGACAAAAAATCAAATACTGAAATGAACAAAAGGCAATAAATTTTGCAAAATTGGTCGAATCAAAATTCTTTTAAGGGAGACACAACTCCATATCATGATTATAAAATATACCAAGTTTCAAAGAGATCCGTTGAAAAATAAAGGAGGAGATCGATTTCCGGACAAAAATCAAATACTGAAATGAACAAAGGGCAATAACTTTTGGAAAAATTGTCGAATCAAAATTTCGCTTCCTAGGGAGACACAACTTCATATCATGATTATCATGTATACCAAGTTTCAAAAAGATCTGTCAAAAAATGTAGGAGGAGATCTCCGGACAAAATTCAAATACTGAATATTGGTGGTCAAATTTGTTACACACCAATGTAGAAATAGTGTGTAAGTAATATTGCTTAAATTATGATCGTCATATGAATACCCCAAAATATCTATAATTTTTATATCTACCTGCATGTGGACATTTTTCATCAACAGCAAACACCCGCTCTCCGTGTCTGAAAAGGGCGATTTTCATTTTGTTGCAGTCAACCAAGCTGCCTGTGCGACTATTCTGACGTAGGAGGCCATTCTTTCGTGGAACTGACACTGAAGAGGTTTTATATCGCTGCACTGGATCAGCCCAGTCAAACAGTTCTGAAATATGAATGCTAAAAATATTTATCAGTTTAGAACAACTTAATTAGTCACTGAAATATAGACTGAAATATTGAATACAGATTGGCATTATGATTAGAACCACTGAAACAAGAGGACAATGGGGCCTGAATAGCTCACCTGGTCATTTATAATATATATATAATAGTGTCTGATCACCATGACCCAGTCCAGTTCCACAAAAATTGTGTTACAAAATAATGGCTTGAGTGATGTTTGAAGTGGAGAGTAAATCTGGATAAATGGTGAATATGTTTGGTACGATGCTGTACAATGTACATGTATATAATGTCAAGTAAAATGCATACATACATACATGTTTGTCAGAGAAAAATAAATACAGCCTGAAATCAAGCAGATTCAGCAATAATTTACAACCTTAATCAGGTTCTCCACAACAGTCTTTATTATGGGTAATAATCCTGCACTTGAGTAACAGTTACTGTCTTCAGTAACATTTTTTTTATTGGAATGGGGCATAAATAAGTGAAATGAAAACACGCAAAGTTCGTTTAAATGTATTAGGAGCCAAAAAGTGCATCATCCTTTCAACATAAACCAATAAATAAGACAATGAGACACATTTATTTACAAAAAGTAATTCTGATGTCCGATGTCTGATGAAAAAAATATCAATAATGAAAAAGGTATCAATGACTAAGTTTTTCAGAGAGAGGTGTAGCGATGGGGTTTGATATTTTTTTCTTGAAAGACCTGTACTTTTCCTGATAATCTAAAACTTGCACAGGTCATTCCCATTCATAAAAAGAACGATCCACTTCAGAAGTCAAACTATAGGCCTGTGAGTGTGTTACCTAGCATTTCAAACGTTTTTGAGAGGATCATGCATGTACAAATGCATGTCTATATTATTTTTTATAATTTTCCTCAGTGCCTACAGGAGGCCAGACCACACTACTGCACATGCTGGAAGGCTGGAAGAGGGACTTGGTTGTTGGGGCTATCTTAATTGATCTCTCCAAGGCCTTCGACTGTCTTCCGCATTACCTGTTCCTCAGGAAACTCTCTGCATACGGTGTACAAGAGAGGGCATGCAGTTTGTCTCCTCCAGATCTAGAGTTACCTTGGGGGCAGGTCGCCATTAGGTGAGGCTTGGACCCAACACCAGCGAATGGAGGGAACTGAAGAAGGTGGTACGTATACCCAAGGGGATCTGTTCCGGGCCCCCTAGTTTTAACATTTATATAAATGATATATTTTATAATATAAAGGACTCCTGATTGTTTAATTATGCAGACGATAACACATGTACATTGAGCTATGCCAATAGAAATGCATCTGTGTTAAAACAGATCCTTGAGATAGAGGCTGATGTGCTCAGGCATGTGCTACAAATGTAAAAAGTGTGTGTGTGGGGGGGGGGTTGCCTATACTACAATATTTATATCCTATCCATATAATTTTAATAAAATTTTGGGAGATGACTCCTTGGTCCGAAAGGTTGGTAAATGCGTTGGTTTGTCGCCAGCCGCATCATAGTAAAAATGTCTAGTAGGGCACAGAAGTAGTTATAGGAGGAGGACGTGTCTACCATATCCAGGCTGTCCTGTGACCCCAGCCTACTCTTTTGTGTTTTGTTTTTCTATATTTTGGAAGTCCATCTAATCATCTTGATAAATTGATCTAGCCTATCCCTATTCTTTGTGCCGGCATTTACACACCTTCTCTTACGACAATACACAAAGGGGTCTTTTACTTGCAGGTAATTGGACCTAATTCCCACACAGGACTGAAAACCAACTTTCTAGTAACTTGCTTAGATCATGTCAAACGATCAAAAGTCAAATGTAAACATTGAAAACAGTACTTGGCTTTAAGCCTCTTCAAAATGTTTCCAAATCATTGACAAAATCAAATTTATTTATTGAGTTATAACTAGAGCAAGAAATTAGGAGGTTATGCATGCATGTATATGTTAATAAGTTTGTCATTTTCACACAAAAAGTTAGACATCTAAATCAGTCAGTTTTTTTGTGCAAAGTTGTACAACTATTGCACCTCGATCATTTTAGTATTTAGTGGGGTTTGTTGGAAGAAAGACCCATTTTTTATTCCTTATATATATGTAAAAGAAATTTGAGCGTTTTATTTCACTGTTGTCCCATTTTAGTACACTGTTACCGTCACGCTACCACAATAGGTTAAGCTTAAGGTCAGCAAATAAAAGTTATACGGTGGAACGGTAGGAACACTAAGACAGAATTTTACATCATAATTTCAACTGGGCTCTATGCATGAGCCAACTGTATCGGTGGCAGTGAGTGAGAGCGAAACGACCGATGAGCCACCGACGCTCCATCCTGACATCGCGTTTCGGAAATGTTTCCGGCCTCCGTGTTACCTTTATATGTAAGCTCCTTTACTGGAAAGAAAAGTTTGGTTTCCATCATCTCGATCGTCCAAATAGAACATCATTGAGACAATTTTGTAGACTTAAACTCACACATCCGCCAAATGTATCTGTTTACAACCTGGGTGAGAGTTCAAGGTTATTCGGGTTGCAAACTAAGCACGCACTGTAATGGGATGATCTTTCCGTGATTTTGTTTACAAACAATTAACAACACAATAAAAATATATTTGCTATCTAAGTCCGTGGTAAACCCATAGAATTAAAGAAATCGGCAAATTCTATGTAGCATGTTATAAGGTGTTCGTCTTAAGTCAGGGCCAGAGGAAACTCGGGCTACGTTAAATTGACACACACTTTATAGGGTGTTACGTATACATTTTTCAAACATTCGAGTGACCACCGCTTGCAGGCACCAATCGGGAATCGTCGGCACTTTACGGAAAATGCTTTATGTTACCCGCCTTGGTTCCACGTAATCTGGAGTGACCAGCGTTCCTGGAATGTACCTGGCCATCAGCTGGTAATGAGTCATGTCACCGACGAGTTGTTAACGTAAGCAAGCGTAATTAGTGTCGCTGAGAATGGACGATAAAAGTGATCAATGCGGTGTTCTCTTCGTTTGCATGGGTAAGAACTTAAAACGAAAGTAGAAATTTATATATGGCAACTTTAAACAGATCGAGCATAATAATATAACCACACATGATGATTACTCTTTCGTTTGGGTCAACTAGTACTGTAATAATACAAAAAAAGATCCCCAACCCCCACCGTACTGTCCCTCTGGGAAAAATCACTGGCTCCCCATGATCTGAGCTGAACACAGAATTAGATTTAATCTGCTGTCTAAGTCCATGGTGGAACTAATCAAACTAATTACTGATTGATAGTGTACTATTCTTTAACCTGCTCAAACTATTTCATAGTTACATAAAATAAATTTTAAGTGAATCAACTCCAATAATAGATAATAATTTAATTATATGAATCCATGTCATATTATGAAATCTTACAAAATGTTTATTTCTTGGTAACTTATCCTATATATCCAGTGGGTGGATGGCCAATGTGTTTATACACAGGGACTTTTGGGCCTGTGTAAAAGGTGTGGATTAATTAGGTTGCCTTACAAGCGTCAGCTGTAGGGAATTTCCCTTTAGCTCAGCGGAAGAGCATCAGGTTGGAGAGCCATGGGTCGCAGGTGCAAGCCCCGGCACCAGCACTATCTTTATCACTTTTCCTTGTCCTATTACAAACTGGTGCTGTTGACCCTCCCCGTTCAAGGTAGGAGAACCCTTGGCGGGGAGTCAAAGAACCTGGTTGATATTTGAAAAAAGGGGGGAATAGTGTAAAAGATGTGGATTAATTAGGTTGCCTTACAAGTGTCAGCTGTAGGGAATTTCCCTTTAGCTCATGCAGCGGTAGAGCATCGGGCTGGAGAGCCATGGTTCGCGGGTTTGAGCCCCTGGTTCCGGCACTATCTTTATCACTTTTCCTCGACCTATTACACCTGTATCCCTTGGATTTTAGGTAGGATGGGTTGTCAATAAATATACATGATTTATTCAATTGTTAATATCTAAAACATAAACAGAAAAGGATTAAATAAAAGTTGTAAAATGTTCATTTCACAACTCACCGTTGCCGAAGTCATACAATTAGTCATAGACTACTATTGACGCTTCTACTGGTACGGACACCCGGTCTGCACCTCCCGCTCTGTAGCATGCGGGGCTGAATTTTCCTGGGTGGTGTTTCCACGCACTGTTCAGTCTTGATTTGAAACAGTTTAATGATGGAGCTTTTATTACGGTGGAGTCTAGATTGTTCCACGGTTCGGTCACTCGGTTGGAGAATGCATTTCCTCTTAGTTTGGTCCTAAATCTTTTCTTGAAAAGTTTTTTGTTATGTCCTCTGGTGTTGTGTACATTCTGTCCGTCCGCAAAAGTTGTTGTGTACATTCTGTCCGTCCGCAAAAGTTGTGAATTTATCCACGTTGGCATCTACAAGTCCATTGCATATTTTAAAAAGGTTTACCATGTCTGCTCTTTCACGTCTGTACTCTAAGGAAGGTATTCCTAAAACTCGCAGACGCTCCTCATAGTTTAGATGTTTGAGATGAGGCAACAACCTGGTGACACGACGTTGGACATTTTCTAGAGTCTTCCGGCCCTTTTTATAGATTGGAAACCAGGCTGATGTGCAGTACTCCAAGTGAGGTCTTACTAGAGACTTGTATAGATTAACGAACATTGCCTCGTCCATGTAGGTAAAAGATTTGAATATTAATCCCACCATTCTGTTGGCTTTCTTCGCTTGCGTGTTGACATGACCGGTAAATTTCAAGCTAAATTGGAGTTATCTCCCTTGCACTGTTTAATTGGATTGTTATGACAGAATATATGTAATGTTTGTAAATAAATTTGGAAAGGACTTAAATAGGCCTAGGCTGATTTCCAATCCAATTGACATATATAAAGTCAATAAAATCTGTTGAAATTGAAATTGAAATACTGCCTAACTGGCAAGCTTGCTGTTCCAGTGATCCGGTATAACCCAGGGACCCGTTCACTAGTTCAGCAACGTCAATGTGGTCAGAAGTTTGATGGGTGACCGCCCCCACGTTACAATAGAACTACTTAAAGTTCTGTACATGATCGTTGATCATGGGTTGTTGGTGATCATATTGGATTGATTTGTTATATAATGTTATACAATATGCATTTTTTTTGTAGGTAACACATGCAGATCAACAATGGCTGAAGGAATTCTACGACATCTTTTGAAAGAAAGGGATCTTACAGAGAAGGTGATTAAGTTGAATTGAAAAGGACTTAAAAATTGGGCTTAAATATATATATTTTGGTCCATTGTGCATGGTTTATATCAAAACGACTGATATTAAATTAATAAAAATTACATTAGGTGATACATAAATGCAGTGCATGGAGAAATTAAAGGGAAATGAGAAATGACTGGACTACATGTAGACATCTCGGTGGCACTTGTATGTACAGACGTCCTGTATACACCACCCTGATTATATTATCTTCTTACTTAATGTATAATGGTAACAGGTACTTGTATGTATTTTGTGTTTGTTTATCAATAATCACTGATACTATTATCCATAATTGTTGTAAAGTGGTTTAGAGTAATTTTACAAATTATATTGGGCGCTATATACGTTATTATTAGTTGGTAAGAGTGTCTTTCTAGAGGTTGGAGGTCCTAGGTTCAAATCCCAGTCTAGCTGTTGCATTTCTACTCACTTGTATCTTTTTATCTGGTACCCAACTAATTATCAACAATATATTAAGGTCTTGCATGTCTTCAGAGTCAAAAACTGCGGTATGACATGAAATGTTCGCTGTGTAAATACATATGTGGTTTTCCTTGTTGCTTTGGAACCAGGAAAATAAATACAACAAATTTAATGGATATTCTTAAAAACTGTTTGTCTATATACCATGAAACGATCTATATAAGTACATGTAGTTTCAAACCACAATGGGAACTACCCACGGACACTTCAGGTTATATTGTATTAATATAAGGGAGGGAGATATCAGGTTATACTGTATTGAGGGAGGGAGATATCAGGTTATACTGTATTGAGGGAGGAAGGTATCACCTTTGACAAGTCCATCTGTAGATCAGGAATAACAGGTAAATTTGAATCTCAGTCAGTCTGTTGCATTTTCCTTTCCTGTTTCAGTTATTAGTCCTCCAACGGTTCCGGGGGGTACTTTAGGTTTGAGCTCCGGAACCGTTATTGAATAAAGTGAATAATGAAGACATTCATTATTTCAATATTAAATTATTCATTGATTCATCTGTCTAAAAAAGAACATGAAATCCAATTCAGTCCCTAATATGGCATTGCAAGCCTGTCATATTCAGCACAGGAATCTGTTTTCATTTATGCACTGAGAGAAAATGTTTTGCCAAGCCTTTTTTTATAAATAACCTTAGTGTTTTGGCATAACTTTCATAAAATACTTGACTGCCAGGCAAGTGGCCATCTGGAATGTACTTGTCCAGGCTACAATTGCACCTACACAAATATTATGCACCTGCAGAAAAGAAGTAGACTGATCTGTGCCATTTCTTTTCATTCAAACTTCCTCTGATTTTATCGCTTTTAATGTCAGGACCTTGGATGCATTTGTATATTTCGATCTAATGTGAAACGAAAATGGGGAAAACTGTAAAAACAAAGAGTTGGGTTTCTATTTGCAGAAATGAACTTTTTGAAAATGACAATGGATCAGTTGATTATATCCTACTATAAAACAATTCCGTCTTTTCGTATTGCAGAGTTATCTGCTCTTGTGAGCAGGTATTAATTGTTACGTTATTTGTTTGTGAGAGTAACATCATAAATTTTTGAGAAAACCATGTAATTTTCTCACACAAACTAATGACGTAACAATCAATACCTGCTCACAAGAGCAGATAACTCTGCAATACACAAAGACGGTATTGTTTTATCATTATCTTTACTCGTTTGATGGATAAGTAGCATTATAAACTGTACTAACCCAACAGCGAAATCCACTTGTCTGGAACAGCAGATGAGTGTTTTTCCAGCCCTAAGTATAGGAATTTTTCAGACCTTTGTGTAATGTTTCGGAATACTTTCCCTTAATTAGCACTCCCGTGAAATTTATTGAAAAAATCATTGTCCGCATGTAAGTATCCTTCTGCCCTATTTCTTTCAATAAGGAATTATCAAGATAATCTATATGTTGTCAATTTTAAGTTGCTTAATCTTGTACTTTTTCATTTCAACAGTATCATGTAGACAGTGCTGCAGTAATGCACTGGCAAGTAGGCAATCCAATTGACAAAAGAACCCTGGCTGTACTGAAGGAAAATAACATTGACCCATTTCATCATGTTGCACGCCAAGTAGGTTTCATCAGTCTTAATTCACAGAATTTGTATAAGTTAGTATGTTTTTTGATGAATTCTTTAAAGTTACTTTTATTCTCTAAAAAAAAAATTCATTTAATTTGTTTCATTTTCATTTTTCTACCATGTTTGCGATGTAGCGTCACTTTTTCTTGGATTAATAACCATAGACTATTGGACGAAAGCATATATAAACCATGTGAATGTACAGGGACATATTTTTTTACTTCAGGCAGATTTTTGTTTTTAATGTTGCCTTTGTTTTGACAAACATTCTAAGCTTTCATATCAAAAGTTCACTTAATGCACAAACAATATTTATAACTTGTCACAAATTTCAAGACCAACCCTTCGTAAACAGGTTGCAGTATTTCAAGATCAGCTGGTCCTTTTGTCAATCTTTGACTCCGGGATCAATTGGTCTTGAAAGATTACGAACATTTGATAGTACATTGTTTGTGTATTTCCAAACTGATGCATTTTATTGATGATATTGTAAGCTTTATGTAAACATATCTGTCAATCTAATTACAGTGGAGTTATATTCATCTTTATTTTACATGTTCATGTATCTACACAAAATATAAGTAATCGACAGTGTGTTGGGCAATTACTGCTACTTTTCAAATCGAGACATCCTCAATACAACAGGGGTTACGCTCACTTTCGCTCTCTGCACTCCTGGAATATGTCATAGCAAAATTGAACAACAGTGCACCACTTTGTAGATGAGACAAGAGCACTAGTTTGATCCTTTGATATACATCAAAAGAATCTGTCTGTCGCGTAACTGTAAAATTTACTGATTTTGAAGTTGGGAGTCGCTTCTCTCTAATCTTCAAAGGACAGGTATCAGCCTAGCGGTTGGTCAGGGCTTTTTACCTGAGACCAATCAAACAGATAGCCGCTAGCCTTCAATTTTGCTATGACATATGCCAGGGGCACTGAAAGCGAAAGTGAGCGTAACCCCTGAAGTGTTGAAGATGCATTAAGATAGCTCTGAATGTTCTAGTTATCAAAGAAGATTGCTTGTGTCTGTGAACTTTTATTAAAATAATGTTATTTCATGTGACAGATCACCAGGAATGATTTCTACAGATTTAACTACATACTTGGTATGGATGACTTTAATGTAAGGTTAGTAATTTACTTCGTGATAATCTTGATTTATTTGGCTAGAATACTCGTGCTAAATCGAAATGCAAAGAATTTTTCACAGCTTTTTGCAAGAACTTGGAAAACATCAGTACAAAGTTAACCTTTCATAACATGTGTTTGAAACTATTACAAAAAAAAAAAAAAAATGTTTTATATCTTATTTCCCAAATTTACACCTATCAGTTTAAATTTTCTTAGTTTTACACATTCGCATTTTTCCAAACAATACATAACAGCCGTGAAATAAATTCTTATCGCTGTATGTTATGGTTCACGGTTATGTTCAGTTACCTGATATATTCATATTGTTTAAAAGTTGCAGATTCTCTGTATGTAATAACTGGCATTTCCTTGAAATTTTCCAGAATGTTACTGGTTGCATTGAAACAAAATCATTGATTTTTAGCCTGTGATGCAGTTGTGATAACACAAACTGTTTACTTACTGTTGAATTTAATCAACTTTAATTTGCTCAGTGCTATATCTGCCAGCTCTCAGCCCAAATCTGATGGCTAACGAACACAGCGTTATTTTAAATTTTAAAATCATGTGTTTGGTTGTCTCCCTTTGACCAAGAATTTTTGAATCATTTCAGTGACCTGCTTTCCATGAAGCCAGCAGACTCTAAAGCCTATATTGGCCTTCTAGGAAGTTTTGATCCATCAGCCGAGGATCCAGTGATCCATGATCCTTTTTGTGTAAGTATTCCTTTTAAAGCGGAAGTAATGTCAAATGTGTGTATGGCTTCAGGTTCCCCTCCCAACCTTCAACCTGGGACTTTTCTTTAAAAACCATGTATGTATTATTTTCACTTTATAGATGTAATATAACCAGTGATCAATTTCAACTTATTACTCTTTTTCTGAATAGGCAAATACTGTATATCAGGGTTATTTTGGCAGAGCTGTTAGATTGTTTAAGGAATTTTGTCATTTGCCTCATACAGTGCTCATTGAATGGTGGCCTGAGTTTGGATTGAATACCAAAACAGTTTCGATTCTGCAGTGCAATACATCTCAAAATGACGAAAGGGCCTAAATGTGTCGCTTGCTACGCGAGGCGACATATCGGTATTACTTTGTTGGCGTCGGTTGCATCGTCCAAAACAAGGTTTCTGTGCGATAACTTGAATTCCATTGGGTTGATGGAACTCAAACTTGGTACACATATTGTATACCAATATAGCTCGAACGACTTCTCATTTCAGAAGTTTACATGCATTTTGTTGTGGAGTTGTGCCCCTTTTATTGCCAAATAACTGGCATTCTGTAGTAAATGCAAGAACTTTTTTTTTTTCCTTTCAAATTTTATATGGTAATGCTAGAAGCAATAATGTTCAACATATATATTGCAGGTTTTTCTGTTGAGTTTCAACTTTCTGCATTTTGGCATATATCACACTTGACATAGCAAGCCAAAACACTTATCTCACAACTGAGCAGGCGACACATCCACAACCTAATGTTACAATATGTACATTATACATTGCATATGTCATAATGAAAACTTAATCTCCAGTAGCCAAGAGAATAAAAATGGTTTCACATATCAACACCACATTCTACTCTTTATTTGAGATGTCATGATGTACACATGTGATATTATATTGACACTAAGTTGATAAACTTTCCTTAGAATGGTAAGGTTTGCTGTACAGTGAAATGCATGCAGATTTGTAAACAGAAACAAGAATACTTCGCTGTTTAACTTTTTTAAAGGAACTTCTGTTTTGTTATTTTTTCATCATTTGCTTTATTTATAAGTTGATAAAACCATGATAACACACACTATTATGATGGCGTTGGCATGGTGATAAATATGCAGAAATTTTATTTTTAAACAAATGTGGAAAGTGTGCATCATATATGAATAATCTGATATTCAAAATCTATTTTGAGATCAGATATGGGGTTTTTTCCATACATTATTTCTATGTACAAATGGTACCAGGTGAAATTGTTTGAAATTTTACTTTTCTTTCAATTCATTTGCCATGGATAAGTGTCCCTTAATATTCTTGAAAGAATTCATCAGGAAATGTTTATGCTGAATTTAAAGTTTTGAATCGAGTAATTTTGGATTAAACCAGTGAGAAAATTAATTAAATCAGAGAAAGTTTGAGATAAACTCATTAGAAAAGAAGTACCATGCAATTGCTATGAAGATGGTTTTGAATGTTGCATGATAATATACCAATTAGCGATGTGTAATTATAATTCATTTCCAAATCTGACTTTTTTTTGTGATTTATTTTCCAGAGTAGCAAGACAATATTCCAAAGTGTGTACACAAGATGCTATGCCGCTTGTTCAGGTTTCCTGAACAGAAACACTCCAAGAACTACCGTATGACGAAGGAAAATATGTAGGGATGACAATAGTGTTGAATGGGCTAAACTTGGATAAAATTGAATCATCTTTACTCTTCTGGTTCAGTGCATCCTAGTTTTAATACACTAAGGTTTGATTTATAGAATCTTTCCCTACCTTGAGGGTGTGACAGAGAAATATCTGACCCTCGGGGTGATGTTTTTTGGTTGTCTAACCCGAGGCTTTGCCGAGGCTCAGGGTTAGACAACCAAAAACATCACCCTGAGGGTTGGAGATTTCTCTGTCACACCCCCAAGGTAAGGCATGATTATTTTTCTCCCATCCTATCATTTCGGTCACAATTCCACCGACAGTAGTCTGTTTGTAAACAAAAACACATGTTGGGTATGAATATTGTCATTCACTTTTGATGACGTCGCATTTACCTGTGACACATTTCAATCACGTCACAATTGAGCACGTGCTAATCGGCACGAGGCTATCTCCCCCGAGGGGGTGACAAGCTGATCTTTCCAGGCTAAAACGGGAGACACACCTGTGAAGGGTGGGAGAAAAAGAGATCACTCAGGGTCCAAATTGGAAACATTCTGTGGCAAATAATGGAAAGTTTGTATTTCTACAAAATAGTTTTTTAATTCATGTCTTTTTATTTTGTAAGAGCGATATAAATGTAACATTTTTTTGTCATAAAATACTCCACAGGTTTCACCATTAGATGGTCCATTACTGTGATATCTTATTTTTTGTAATTGTTTCCAAGTGTTTGTTATTTTTCCTGTGAGAATACCTTTATATGTGTTTATTCAAACATTTTCATATTTGTGTCTACACATCATGAATGTGGTTTCTGTCATTAAATTTTAGAGAAGTTATAAGTCTCTATGCAAGAAACATGTTTTGTTTTGTTCTTTAAGAAGTTTGTTTTGTTGAGGTGACAGAACCCTTATACTGTTCATAGAATGGTCTCAGATTCAATGTTAAAAGTCTTTAAATTAGTGAAACAGTACATAAAGAACATAATTACTACCGCAGGTATATATCAATATAGGTAGCAATACATTTGGATAATAAGGCAAGAACCAACATTTGTACTTAATCAGTGGCAGATCCAGAGACCTACAATGTATCTGGGGGGGGGGCTAAATTTCCAGGGGGGTTTCCATGTGGGGGAAAATTGAGGAAAATGGTGAAAATACATGATTTTTAAGTAAAATTCTCAGGGTGGGGTTTTTTTTGAAGCCCCCAAAAAACCTCTGGATCCGCCACTGCTTAGTTGAGTGCTGTTTTTATTCTAATTATTGTAATTTAAGGACAATTTAAATCAATTTGTTTCATAATACCTTGATGTATAGTTATTTCTGGCGACAGTAAAATGATTGCAAAACAAGTAGCAGTGAATTTAAATTGACTGTACTATGGGAATAATTGTTACATTGTTATATATGTAAACATACAACAAGAAAATGAAAGATAACAACAAAATACAAACAATCTAATATGGTATTTTTATTTGCTCACTTATGATATTGACTACAGTTCAAGCATATTCATAATAATGAATAATTACATGTTTAAGAATTGTTCATTATATATCTGGGTAAGGCACAAATTTCCGTGATACCAAATCCGTCATATCCGTACCGTAAAAGTGGGAGCAGATCAGGATTAAAACTTTATTATTTCAACTTTAAGTCATAAGAAAGAAAATATAGAGGCCCAATGCTTTTTTTAAAAGGATGACCAGATCAGTTTTGGTTACCCTAATGTCCCCTGAGCAAATGCAGGGGGAGGGGTCTCACAACTAGATGCCTCATGCCATCACGCTGTAGAAAGACTTATTTGTCTCCCAAACATGTACACTATTTGTACTGAGGAGATTAATAAGTTTCACTCTGTCGTTCTTCATATATATATATATAAGCGTGTTCAACACTGCATTTATGAAGAAGACAATAGCATAGTTTACAAGTCTACATGCATGTAGAGCTCATGCATCCATAAGTATAAAGGTCTGACATGGACAAATTTCTGAAGAAGATCTCACATTTTAAATTACCTGACCCAGAAGGCCAAGAGAGCTTATGCTGTGGTGAGGCATTCGTCCGTTGTCATATTTTCCTTTCATACATTACTAGTCCAGTACGGCCATATGTATTATTATAAGTTTGTTTTTTAACATTGTTGGACAAAGGGAACTGAACGTTGTATAAACAGAGGTGTGACCCCATGCAGGCAGATGAACAGGGCCCAAATTAATAAAGGGGACGGACCCAATTATATCCCCACCTTACAAATATTCATACCGGTACATACCAATACTCTATATCATAGCCAAATAACTTCATACTCCAAGAATTTTTCCGAGAGGGACACGTTATAAGCGATTTTGTTTAAAAAGCAATAACTGTACTGAAGGAATAGACTTTAAAATATTAACCCAATTTCCTCTATGCCCTCACCTTTATTCTCCCATAGACACACATTAAACAAAGTTAAGGCCCTGTCACCAAGAAATCCCTTGTAATAAATAGGTTTGAAATCTCTTCATCCCAACTTATGAAGTATGCTTATAGATATTTGCCTTTATTTTTCTGCACTCTCTTCACCTGGGGCAAATATTTATCTTTATACAATGTTGTTTCCCCCTGCCAGAGGGATGCTCCATACCTAATTTTGTCAAAAACCAACAAGTTATTTTTGAAAAGTAGTTTGATAAAATAAACTAAAGTATGATTGTCAATCATAGAATAGGTTGTATTATACAGAAATATTTCATATAAATCTCATCTTGAGATATATTTGAGAAAAGTTGCATGTATTTGAAATTCGAGCACTTAGAAATACATTTGATAAAACAAATTGATCACATCAGAAAAGTTACAAGAGAAATGAATATAACCATTGTAAAGTTTCAACGTAGGTTATTTTGTCTTCTAATTTTATTAATTTCCATCATCAATAATTTCAACGTGTGTTGAAAATGTTTTCATCAGTTCCCTTGTCTGATGCAGCGTAGTTCTATTATATGTGAACGCAGCACAGTAACTATAGGTGATTTTATCTCATTTCACACCACCAGCCATCCACTGCAATGCCAATTGTAATTGCACTAATTCGGAAAACATTGGATTTCAATGCGCGGTTCAATGGAGTCTAACACAGCACCTATAGGGGTTACGAAGCATTCTCTGCCATTGATCAAACCACCCACTGCTAACCCAATCACACGAGCCCCACTTTCTTTCTGTATGAAAACAGACGCTCCAGAATCCCCTAGATCACAAAAAGGCCTTCCCAAACTTTTAATATTGTATAAATTGTACAGGTGACGGTCTTCCTCTCCCTGGCAAAGAGGAGCTGACAAAGTGTCCTTTCGAATAGCAGCCCCGCTAAAATCAAACACTCCTTTTGTAAACCCTGATGTTCTTCCAAATTTACACACATCATGTTTAGTGTCGTTTTCATCCATGTCTAGTATCGGGAGACCCATCTTCATTTCTTCTATGTAACCTGTTTAATTACAACAATAACTGTATCAAATATATTAAATATTGTAAGTATATCATAAGTATTTACTGTGTGCAAAAGTAATTAATCTTGATTATTAATCACATAAACATACTCGCAAGACCAAATAATCCCCACCCGATCCCGCTTCCGATTCCCCACTCCTTTGTAAAGAAAACATGAAAATATCTCGGGACACAAACGTTTCTTATTGGTTATTTTATGAAAGTGGAATAATAAGTACATCTTTGAAGTTTCAACTGTACGATTTAATCAGTGGTGATATTCTTAACATTGAATGGTGGTCAACGGTTATTATACTTAATTAGTACATTGCACGTAACTTGGAGTGTATTACTTGTACGCGTCCATAATTGGACTTACCATCTCTCCTTGAGGCCACCTCATGTTCCCGTTCGACAGAAGGAAATTTCAATACCCGAGGTATGCGACTTGTCATTTTCACATATGCATAGTCGACGCCTGTAAAACTGCCTTTGTATATAACATTTCCAAATCTAGCATCAATGAGTTTACCACACGTTCTGTTATTGGGGTCATCCATATACGAAGGTTGAACAACATCAATAGAAGCACTGCGAATGTTTTGTCGAATGGAGTAGGTAGGCCTATCAAGTTCCTGGCTTGCAAGAAGAACATGGCCACATGTCAGTAGTCCATACTGCTCTGCTGTATCAATCTCCTTCACAAAGACGCCTATAGAGCCCGCCTTAGATTCTCCTGAAACGCCTATGCTACAGCCTAGACGGAGAGGATCATGGAATTCTCGTGCTGTAGCGAAGTATATATAACCTTCCCTGACATCAACTGGAATGCCGTCTAATTTCTGTGGAAACTCTGGCTCTTCTAATGGAATGATACCCTTGCAAGAACAGTAGATGACAATGCATTCGGTGTTCTTTATGCCGTCTCGACGAGACATGACAGGACTTGTACTGATCGTGATGAGGTTTGAATGCTTCTTCATCAGTTCCGGTGTGTGCTTTCTGACGATCTGGTTGAGGTTTCGGTTGAAGCTGATCCGACGATATTCCAGTAGGTTGCGATCAATGTAAGTGTCTACTAGTTGCATCTCTGTTGTAGACTCTTTGATCGTCTTCTGGTCTAAGACAAAATCCATGCCCTTGTCATAGGACAGATGAATATGATCAAAGTTTTCTGCTCGCAATGCAACGACCTTGTTGCCAAATTCGTCAGTACCATAGCTAGCAGCTGTCAGTTTGCAACCTTCAAATAAATACGGAGACCAAGTGTGATCACGGTGATAAAACATGTCATAATAATACAATACAAATATTTACGAGTCAGAATTAATTGAAAAAGATAATGCAATGGTATTTTTTTCTCATATACACTTCCTTTTAGGTGTTGCCTCCTTAGATGTAACCGTTAAGTGTTTTTTTCAGTAATGTACACTAATGTACAAGGGTATAATACAAACAAGACTTATGAGATTGCTTTTTACTATCAGATGTTTTTAACTTTTACTCTTGAACAATGTATTCATTTGAGTATTTGTAATATGCTCCGTTTCTTTTTTCATATATTTCATTGACGCATTTAACGTACATTCATGTAATCATTTTAAGACGTCGCAATTTCTAGACGTCCACATTATGTGTACTTTGTTTATGACTTCATTATTTTTGACGTCTTAAGTATGTGTACTCCATTTATGACGTCACAAATAAATTTAAATCGCCAAACATCCCCAAGTTTGGCGAAAGCGCTAGCGAATTGCAGTCTTCGTTTTTTGTTTTATATATATGTTTACCGTCACATGGACATTTTAAACTCTTACCGCTATATATATATATATATAAGTTATCTCTTACCAGGGTTATTTTTTGCGCTGTTTGGTATTTTTTGTGTTTCCCGAATTTCTTGTTCAATTTTACCAATGCTATGTTTGCACTTGGCCTGGTATGGCTTGTTTATTTCATTCACGATGTCATTTTTCCTCCTCTGCAAAGATTGGTACGTCGCCGTTGCAATATCTTTCCGCCATGTTGCCGAGTTGATATCCTGAGGCTTGAATAATGTGACCACAGCTGAAATTATCAAACGAATGTCAGTCCACACGACATCAAAAATCCATATGAAAATCCCGGCAAAAGTTACATCACCCACTGGATTTCTCGAAACGTCCCATTCTACAGCTTCGAATGCCGTCATGTCTAACTGCTTCAGAATTTTGTTCCATATTTTTCTTCTTATTGAGTTGTTGATATTCTGACAAACTTCTTTTAAAATAGCATTGACAAGTTTTGATTTATTTGCCTTCACCTCGAAGACATTGCGTAACCGGTAAGGTGTGTTGGGATAACCACAAAGCCATACATCACAAGCAAAGTGTTGCAATTTATGTTCGTTTGTGTACTCGTCGAAAGCATCCTTGATAAACTTGTATATTTGTTCCTCATCATCATATGTGGATATGACTTTCCAAAGATTGGATGCATAGTCGTCAAAGTAATCTTTGAGTTTGGCAATCTGCTTTCGAACAGCTGCACTGCCGAGACTAAATTCTTCATTGCAAGCCTTTTCAATCGCACTGTGATCAATTACGCTTACAGCTTTTGTCTTGCAGAAATCAAAGACAACAGGACATGGAAAGTCACATTTCAACCAGACTGTATTCTGAAATTGTTGATGAAATGGAACATTATTTCACAAATGGCATTAATAAATCAATATTTACATTTGCGTTACAACCAACAATATGAACATTACCAGCAGAAATGAAAAATTTGAGTATGAAAGCTACACTCTCATGGCGTAACATGTGGTTTACTTATGACGTCAAAGATTAACCCTCTTCAATGAGAGTCTTGGCGCTTTGCTTCGAATGACACGGAGAATGCCCCTGGTCAATGGCTCAAATGACTACGGTTAATTATTAGCGCCAATTTTATTTAAATAGGGCTGTTCCGCCAATGTCGTTTAAAGGACGACGCATATACAAAACGCAATAGATAAATAAATTATTTAAGCACAAATGGAAAAAAATAACAATTGTTCAAATGTAAATATATGAATTGAACGGCGTTCTTTCACATTTACATGCTTGTATGAACGCAAATCGGTTACATCCATATTAAACATGAAGCCCCTTGTGGGCTGGATGCAATATAGATGTAACCGATTTGCGTTCAAACTGGCATGAAAATTAAAAACAAAATGCCATTAAATCTCTATATGAAAGACACCATTAAAGTCTGTGTGTGCAAATACTAGGAGACAGTGATTGGATAGCTTTGGTATCAGTTAACAATAGAAGTTAAAGTTTTGAAGTCTCAAAAAAGACCAAACGACCTTAGTTCTTTTTTTATACAAAAAACATCCATAGTTAATTATAAAAGTAGTTTCTTAGCACTTTCCTAGTACTTTCACCTCTTTAAAAGTTCATCAGGGAAAATATATATTCATGTTGACAAGACGAAAAACTCAACACAGGAAATTATGACGTCATGAAGAATTATGACGTCACAATACAACTTACCAAAAACGACGCCAAATTAACAAATGCACTTTAACGTCAACATTTGTGGAACAACATATATGGTGTTACAAAAATAGATATATCGTTACAGGCATGCGTATAGCAACAGATTATCCGAATACATTATCTATATTTATTCATACAACGATATGTGCTGTTAGAACAATTTAAACCAGATTTTAAAATATCAATTTCTATTGATTCTTTGGACTTTCTTTGTACAGTCTCTTCTTTAGCTTGTGATATAGGAATTTCATGGAGCTTATCATTTAGACAAGAATGTATTTGCCTTTTTACAGTTCAAAATATAAGATGATCACTTTTTGGTCTGTTGTCTGTGAGGTGTCATACGTTGACGTAATTTACAACCAGTTTGTCCAATGTAAAAAGCAGAGCAAACATAGCAAACATCATTGCATTAACAAAATTTCGAGATATACAGTTGATATTAGTTTAAATGTTTTCCATTTTTAAATGTATGTTTTTCTCTTTCCACAATAATATTACAAACATCACATCTTGGTTTGTTATATTTCGACACACATTTGTTGTGGAACCAAGAAGTACACAATAATATTTTCAATTTTTAGGTTGTCTTCTTCAGTTTATGATTTTCCATTTAAAAAGGATTCTACCCATATGTTCATCTGTCTTCGTAGCTTTTGATGATATGAAACACGTTAAAGGTACATTGGTTTTTAGGTCACCTAAGACGAAGTCTCAAGTGACCTATTATAATCGCCTTTTGTCCGTGCGTCGTCCGTCGTCCGTCGTGCGTCCGTAAACAATTTACAATTTCGACTTCTCCTCAGAAACCACTGATCTGATTTCAATAAAAAATTGCAGGAACCTTCCTTGGTCAAAGATGCACCAAACGTGTGAATTATATGGTTCCCACTTCCAGGGGCTTTGAGGGGCGTGGCTAAAAGTGGTCAAATTGGCTTCAATTTTAAAAATCTTCTTCTCCAGACCCAGATAGGCTGGGAACCAATACTCTTCATAGGTGGAAGGGTCTTGAGGTATTTTATCAAAATTGTGAATTTCATGACACTTGAGCTTCACGTTTGCCCCTGGGGAGGGGGTAAATTTACTATAGTTTATATAGGAAAATGGAACTTTTGGGTATATTTTGTTCATTTTCTACTGGAAATCATTCAAAATTGATTTACACTATAACCATGAGATGACAGTTTCATACTTTGACATTTTTAACCCTGTCTCATCCCCAGGGACTGAGGGACGGAGCCCAAATGGGGTCATATAGCCAGAACTTTCAACAGTCATCTTCTCCAGACTGAGATAGGCTGGGAACCAATACTCGTCATAAAAGGAAGGGTCTTGAGGTGCCTTATCAAAATTGTGAATTTCATGACCCCCAGACTCCATGTTTGCTCCTGGGGAGGGGGCGAAGTTTATAAGTTATATAGGAAAATGATTCTTTTGGTTCATTTCCAACTGAAAATCATCTTTATGAAAAACTATTAAACAATCATCCAAAAATCTCAAAACATAGTTAAAAAAAAAAGAAAAATCATCACCATTAATGCTTGGCATTTCCATATAAAAAATCTACAGATATTTATGCAAAGGCTACCGATTCTTATAATTTATTAGATTTTATAAGAATTCCATATACCCTTTAATTCAGCTTCTATTTTAATAACTTTAGTAAGCGATTCAGATATATTAGAACACAGTTTACGCGAGCTCGGTTTGTTTTTGAAAGCTCGTAATTATCTAAATGAGCATATTTTAAACGGCATTGAAAAAGGCTAAGGATAAGGGGCCTTTTCTGGTCAAAAAAGATATAAGAGTGATATAATATGATTTGCTTTTACTTATAAAAAATGTAACTTAAAAGTTCATTGTTTTCAATTTTCAAAAGCTATGAAAACTTTATGAAAACAGATTAACGTATAAGTAAAAGAGTGGTTGCTCCGAAAATTTGTCAACCTCATATTTCTACACTGTTTGAAGTACTTTCTTGGCCGTTATACTAATTTTTAAGTAATTGGTATACTACAAACATACGTTGTAAGGATCCAATATTATATGGGAACTAAACCTTGATATTACTTTTTTAACCCTAATATATTATAACAACATTGTTTTAGAGTAAAATCGTTTTCAAACAGTTTTTATTGCAGAAAGCTTTCCCCAGATTTCGGAGTTGTAAACATCATTGTGATTACACTTAAGGAAAACGGTTTTTTAATAGATCATACTAGAACAGTATGTATGAATCGTACATTCAATCACTATAACATCTACCTCCTATATAACAAGTGTAAACAAGCTAAGAAAAAGGTATTTATACGATTAACGAATCATTTTATACATCGTCGAGGGACGGCTGTATGCATGCCTTAGTTAATATGTATGTAATTTGATGTTAAAATGAGGGTAAGGTGACCTAATGGTACATATATATGCGCAAAAAGTCTAAGTGTGTCATTGGCGCATGGAGAGATAAAAAGTACATAAGGCTATGGTGGTTTTTTTAACGTTCCTGGTATTTTAGAGCCGAATCGTTTTGTACTGATGTTACATAATAAGGGGAAAAAAGCGAATAACTTGAAATAAAGTTTGCATTGAAGTAAACAAAAGTCTGTTTCTATCTAATTACCTTTGTTTCATCATTCATATACAGGCGAACATATGCAAGAACATCCTCGTCTGATTTCTGTTTTTCTTGTAGGTATTCGAGTGTTGAGTTCACATCATTTGCATCGTCGATAATTATTACATCGATATCAAAGTCTTTTAGCTTATCTTTGATTTTCTGTTGTATATCTGTTGCTTTGTGCAATGATTTGACAATGGTGTCGAAGGAAACATCTTTTGTTTCTGTCATGAAGTCAAGTATACGTTTGACTTCTACATGAACTCCAACCTGATGTTTCAGCAAGCGTGGAGAAAATGCCATTGCCATCTTTGGTATGTCAATAAACCGATTCTAGCTGAACCTGAAAAAGGAAAACGAAATATGGAAAGCGTTTCGGGACGCCTGATTTTGCGAAAGATTCTTATATAGAACAAAATATACTCGCACGGATAATCAAAATGCTGTGAAAGACAAAACAGTTTTTCGTTGAATATTTACTTATCAAAAAGCACATATAAATATTAACAGTGAAATATTGACCAGAAAAAAATTAAAGATGTGCCAGTCAAGATCTACCACTAAATGACTTAACACTGAAGATTGTCTTGTTTTCTTTCACTGCTGAAGAGTTATCGTTAGAGTTTGTCGCGCAAGCTTGGTTATGAAATATTATATTGCACGAAAAGGGGAAAGGGTCAATTACGGCTCTCCAAACAAAAGACGATATGGAAACAGAAAAGCAGCACAAGGCACTTAAGTAAGACAAAACATAAGATTCTAACAAAATTGGAGCTACTTTGCTGCATGCGTCTATATCTGTAATAGAGTAAACCTAATTTGTTATAATGCGTAAATTAATATATTGCGACTACTCATAACTTTGTATTGAGCTTTTAAACTTATGATATAGCCATTCAAGGTGTGCTAAAATGGGAGTGGTCTCTCAGTCTACATTTTTGTCTGTCTGAGGTCACATAAACGCATATGCTACTCAGTTCGGAAAAAAATGTGAATTATATATACAAGTATGCAGATGTTACCCACATACAGAAAGCCATCCTCGATATCCAGGGGTTACGCTTACTTTCGCTCTCCACACTCCTGGAATATGTCATAGCAAAATTAAACAACTACATAAATAAGAATATAAAGCTTTACAACATGTTAATTATATATCTAACCTGTGGTTAATATGCATAAATTAAACTATTTGGTGGGATTGAATTTCCAAACTCATCAGTGGATGGCCTTGTGTGATACAATGGACTTTTTGGCCTGTATCTGTTGGGTGCGGTAATTTAATCCCATCAAATGTTTATACATGCAGCTCCATCAACAAACTATTTTTCTTTTCTCTTCATAATATGTATATACCGGTATATATTTTATGTCTTTTCAATATCAAAATAAAAGGTTAGAATTCAAACCATTAGATTCAATTATAATAAAAATGAGTATTAGTAGTTGTTTCCCCTAATTTGATTATTAATTTGATAATACCAACTTGTTTATATGTGTTTGTATGTGTTCTATGTCTATGCTTGTACCACTGTCTGTTACTATGTTTGGAAAGGGCTTAAATAGGCTATGCCTGCTGCCCAATCCATTTGTCCTTTGACAATAAATTTATTGAAATTGAAAAGAGATTTGTCCTAGTCCCTTATACAAATGTAGTGGGCAGGGGTCTTAATGGGGTAGGAAACCGAAGTACCCGAAGAAACCTCATATGGTGGGGCAGTTGACCCAATAGATTCCAGCGAATATTTGGTCATTTGATTATATACTGCTGATGTGATTTGATCTGTTTTAACACTGAATTAGATACATTTGTATAATCGTATGCCTTTGTTTCAAACTACGACAATAAATTGTACGTATACATTTCCCTCTCTTGTTGTCGACGTTATAATTAATGGAGATTTCCTGTACGAGACAAATGGTCAAACTGAATATTTGCAATGGTTTAACAATATAGAGATAGTACATTGTATCTTGATATTACTAACGGTGAAGAAAACACCTTAATTCAATACATTATATATTGTGTTTAACGCTATGACTCTTTAATTCAACTTATTATCTTACATCGTACATGGACAAGGACAAGCATAGTATTTTTAATAAAGTCACCATGAAACTATTGCAATGCTTTTTTGTTTTCTGTGCGTTTAATAGCTCTTTATTGATATCAATACCAAGAATGTATATTGTGTTCGAAGAATTATTCTTCACATTCTATTGCAGTCGGATTTGACGCTATTGTGTATTATATAACTTTTGATATGGTATGGTTTTAACGGTTTATAAGTTCGCGATATCCAGTATATATAGTATATCTACACTTAAAATCAGCAATTGGCTAGAAGTATGTATTAGTTCCTGATATTGAAGTGTGACTAAGTTTGTAATACAAAATGATAAATCGTATACTGCTAAGGTAGTAAATATTTACTGATGAATATTAAGCCATTAAAACAACACTTTAACCATGTATCAATATCTGTAAACTTAGAATTGGTGTATCAAAACTGTTTAAGTTTAAGTTGTAAAAATGGTACGTACGACCGAGGGCTATATTCCTTCTGCTGCAGACAATAGAACTAAACGCCTAATATGGAAATACTTCGATTCATACAGATTCTAAAAATGAGTGACGAAAGAATACTCATTTCCGAGATGTGATCATTACGAAATCTTTAAAAAAATCCTTGTATTACGGCCTTGAAATAAAAAAAAAACTGTCCCGTGCTTGTAATTGCATTAATCACGTCAATGTTTAATTAAGGAGAACATCATGTAACATGCTTACAAGTATGCATACTTTTTCATTTACATTATTGAAAGATATTATGCATAACAAGTATCTAAACATTTCATTATAGCCGTCACATATTCCCGATGCATTGGTTTTCCCAGAAATGTTTTTTCTTTGTCGGCCATGACTCATACTATTTACTGACTGTAAGAATCGTATAAGGAAAGCGAAAGTTGGAAAGAAAGTATACGAACGTATAAAATAGTATTCAAGTACAAATCCAGTGGTCAGACTGGACATTTGCAATGGTATAAAATATACGAATAGTATGGAAACATGACTAGTAGTCCAAAACAACATGTACGTTCGATAAATTATATATTGATTTTTTACGATATGTCTCTTTAATTCAACTTACGTTTTACATCGTACCTTGTTTTCTTGAAAGATCTGAGAAGAAACCTGCATGAGTACAAATTCTCCTAATATGATGTCAAATATCTCGTATTAACACAATCTTCTTTAAATCCGAGCACTGCTTAGAATAGTTTAGTATCCCGATGATTAAAACTAACAACCTGTCGTTGCGTGGTTACGATGACACTGTTTATGAGTAATTATCTGTATAAGGTGTTGCTTTAAAAATAATTCAAATTATAATTTGGCTCAGCTCGTTACCGACCAACGCACAATGCCTTGCACGGTAGGCTAGGCAAACACCACAAATACTAGCCTCGCCTGGCAACATACCAATAAAGTAAACAATCTACTCGTTCATGTACAACATGTACTGGCTTTTCCCAGAACTGTTTTTTTTTGTGGGCGATGACTCATGTGATTTACGGATTGTAAGAATTGTATGAAGAAAGAGAAAGTGGGATAGAAAGGATACGTGTACATATATGACGTGACCTTCAATAAAGTGGTCGATTCATATAGTTTAGTAATTATTTTGAAAAACACTTTTTCAGCTTTTTATTTAGAACATGTCAGTATATGTTTGCACTTTTCTAGAAACACTTCATTCTGTGAATATTTCCTTTCAAATATACGTTTTTCTCAAGGTTATATCAGTTAGAAAAATGGGTGATTATAGTATCGTGTCCAAAGGTACCGGCAATAGATATATCCTGGCCACTTATAAAACTCTAAAATGTCAGCGGAGATTTGTTCATTGGAATAGTTGCATCTGTGCAAATAACTTATGATGGTAAAAAAATACTACTATGATGATGTTATCAGTGTAAACATTGACTTAGATAAAATAAATCAATTAAATATTGTTTTTAACGATATGACTCTTTAATTCAACTAACGGTCCCAAATCATACCTTGTTTTCTTTTAAGATCTACGAAGAAAACCTGCATGTGTACAATCCTCTGTACAAACACAAGCATTGCTAAAGTCGGGCACTGTTTAGTATCCTGGTGATTATAACATACAAGCTGTCGGTGAGTGGCTACGATGACTTAGTTTAAGATTAAATTTCTGCATTACGTGTTGCTTTAAATAAACAAATTAGAATGAGGCACACCTAGGTACCGGCCAATACGTAACGCCTTGCACGGTAGGCTAGGTACATACCATTCAAAAGCGGTCTGCAGTTGAGGAAATTCGATAGCAGCACTCCAGCTAATTGCAACGCCAACAATAGTATTTTGGCTGATACCACTCCGATATCATTGCAATGCTCTTTAGTTTTCTATTTATAGCCCAGAGCCTATATACATAGCCTTGGATATAACAAGTTTAGCATGTTGTCGCATTTATTCTCTTACTATATATTTGTGATGGTATATTGTGATGCCTGATTATGGGTTTGATACAAATGTCTTATTTTCTTGTCTTAAAATGGATTTATAGGAAATTCGTTTTCCTGTTTGTGGTCCGTACCAGTGACGTCAAATGCGTCCTTTGACCCTTGCAGCGGTCTAGCTTTGTAGAGAATTTCGCTGTCACAAAAGTGTTCTTGGTAACAATAAAAAAAAATATCATTAAGACTTTAAAATGCTTATTGTTTGACTTGTATATCATATATAGACACAAAAAGGTATTGTACGAAAGGTAGGGTGATCACGTATTTCGTTCTAAAAATACGCGTATATAAGTGCATTCGATGACTAAAATTAACCATAAACGCACGATTTTTGCCGTATCGGGTATGTTGATCAACGCTTATTCAATTATTGTTAATGATGTCTTTGCATCTTGCAGGGAAATCCAATGAAGAAAGATAATGATAGAGCATGTATCCAATAAACATGTATAATGGGTTAATAGGTGTTTGACACATTACGTTATATAATGATAATAATAATTCGAGATTCTTATATACCGCTTTATCACAATCTAGTTCCTAGGTCGTCTCAAAGCGGTTCACAAATTATTATCCGTGGTTTCAGGACCTTTGCAACCAGCCAATACCTTCTCAACTCCCTATGAAGCATACAGCCGGAGCTGCCATTTCGTCGCTAACAGCTAGCATTCAACAATTCTAGCACTGCCCAACCACGTACTTATTTACAGCTGAGTAGACTGGAACAAGCGGAGTAAAGTATCTTGCTCAAAGATACAACACAGTGCCGTGCCGTGACTCGAACCCGCAACCCTTCGGTCACGAGCCCGGCATCCTTCCACTAGACTACCGTGTCTCCATATAATGATATAACAGTATAGGCATGTTACATATACATAAGATAAACACTATATTCAGGTATCCACAGATGTCATTGGTTCAATTTCTTATGATTAAAACTTTAAAGAAATCGTGTGTCCGTCATGTTGTGTATAAAGTCTTTGTCCAGTTATTTATTTCAGTTCATGGCGTTTTAATACAGGAACATCTTGTAGGCTTATTTATTTATTTATTATTTAAAGTAATATGGTATAGTTACATTTATTAGCTCACCTGGCACGAAGTGCCAAGTGAGCTTATACCGTCGTCCGTCCGTCCGTCGTCCGGCGTCAATATTTTACTTTAAACAACTTCTTCTTAATAACCAAAAGGCCAAGGGTGATGATATTTGGCCAGAAGCAAACTGGGATGAAGGGCTACAAAGTTTGTTAAAATTGATGACCTTAAGCCATTTTCAAGGTCACAGGGGTCAAATATGTT